TAATGATAATGCATATTTAATGGCTAGTGAATGTAATTTACAGTAGTTAATAAAACATCTTAGTTTTTTTTGTTTGTTTTTAAAGGAGGATGTACATCTATACTTTAACTGTGGCTATGGAAACGGACGACTTGGAGAAGTGACAGCACTAGATCTGGACTTTTGTTCAGTTGTGTGAAGTTGGCATCAACTTAGGTATGAACTGGTACCAATAATTCACCTTACCACTAAAATTTTGGAAGATACTATTAGTTGGCAAACCAAAAACCTATATCAAACACTCATCTCCTTTGGTTATTCCTAATACAAATGCCAAAAGACTACAGGCTCAATTTCCAAGTTTGGAAAGGACTTCAGGAAAAAACATGTCACATAAATCTATTTTCCCCTTATAAATTGTACACAAGCAACAAAGACTGCTTAAAAAAAAAAAAACAGTCCATAAATTTTATTCCCAGAGAAACCAGGAGACAGATACAATCTTCAGATGCCAAAACAGACACAAGGGCTGCCAACAGGGCCAAGATTTCATGGAAGTAGTATGAAAAGAGGGAAAGTGGTGAAAGAGTCAGGAGGGACCAGGCAGTTGCACATCTAGCCAGAAAATGCCCTCTTGGAATGTGAAATATTCTCCTCTGGAAAGCAAAAGCAAGTCCCTTGTTCATAACAGAGGGGTGGAGAAGGGCAAGATTAGCTGTGGAAACCTCTCAAACCTGATTTGGTTCAGGGAAGGACCAAAACAAGGAAGCACAGAAAGAGGCCACATTTACTAGAGGAAGCATACCTCTGTGGCATTAGCAGAGGAGAAACACAATTTTGAAGCATGGAAGGCTACCATGGCCTGAATTTCCTGCACATGAAAGTACTGTAAATCATTATAAAGTACTGCCATAACACTGATATAAAAATATTCTTCAAAAAACAGTAACAGAGCAGGACATGGTGGTACATGCCAATAACCCCTGCAACTTGGGAGGTTGAAGCAGGAGGGATTTTCAAGGCCAGCCTGAACAACTTGGTGAGACACTGCCTCAAAATTAAATATATAAAAAAAGCTGGGGATGTAGGTTGGTGGTAGAGTGCCCCTGGGTTCAAACCCCAATACAACAACAACAATAACAACAACAGAACAGAAACTAGCAAAAATTAACAGATAAACCATATTCCATACCTGCAAAATTTCGTAGTACAAAAACATTTTTCCATGAATATTAAAATATAGTGATTCAATTGCCTCTATAAAGAAAATTGACAAAAAAATGCAAAAAACCAAGGAAGAGATGATGGGCTAATAGGAAAAAGTGTGAGCTCAGAAAAATTATTATGGGAAAAATATACACCACGGGAAACCCAATGAGACATACATAATAAAATGAAGAAATAAATAATAAAATGAAGAAATAAAAACCAAATGAGGGCTGGGGATATAGCTTAGTGATAGAGTACTTGTCTAGCATGTACAAGGCCCTGGGTTTGATAGCACTACAAAACAAAACAACAAAAAAACTCAAATGAAATAAAAATGAAGAAAACATTAAATCTTGCTCTTTTGGTAATAATTCAGATCAATCCTCACACCAAGGAGAATCTGAGGTGAACAAATAGCCTATTTAAAAAATTCTGCTTGAACACTGGAAAGCCAGTAAAATAAAGGAGAATTCCTGTGCTAAGATTAAAGTAGAGATGGAAATTCAGAGGTGGAAGATACAATTAGTTGGCAAACCAAAAACCTACATCAAACACTCATCTCCTCTGGTCATTCCAAGCATTTGAGGTTAATTTTGCCTGGGCTATTTACAATCTGAAAAGGAAAAGAGGAGCTGATCAGACTTGGGACATTCTCTTGGAGAAGACAGAAACATAGGAGCACAAGATTCACCAAGGATGGAGATTATTATAAGCCTTTGCACTTTGGCTCTATACCCCAAGGCTGAACGCTAGGAAAAATGGCAAGCCAGAAGTGTCTGTGCATAAGGTCAGTCCAGACTCTGGCCATCTTAGTGATCCAGATAACCCCAGTTCCTAAAACTTGATTAAGATTTCTAAATCTGACAGTGACTCCAAGTACCTGAGAGAAGCAAACAAAATTTGTCTCTCTCTGAAGGAGAGAAAGCAGCATTTTAGACCTCAATTTTTTCTACAATTTTGCAAACATAATTTTGGAATATAATTAAAGGTACCCAAGCTGGAGAAGAGAGACTATGAAAAAGCAGCAACAGAAACACAAAAGAAACAAATACAGAAGTGGCACTAAACATTGGTATTGTCAAACATACACATAGAAATCAACAAATCTAAAACTTGGATAATTTGAGAAACCAAGTAATGAATTGTATCCCATGAAATTAAATAGAAATTCACAAGTTTATACTAACATAAACAAGTAAGTGGGGAAAGAATAGGTAGGGAAAGTTGTTAAAGTAGAATTTTAATAAATGTATAAGAAATGATGAGATTAGAAAATTGCCACTTGGCAACTACCTACCACAGCAATAAATATGTAATTACTTGTTCTATATTCCTTTTTCTCTTCTGCTCACCCTTTTTGATGTGATTATCTGTTATCATTTTGCTTTCAAGTAAAATTCCAACTTCATATAGACTGTACATTCCAAACCTCAAGTGTCTGTGTATTGGTAATTTCTGAAATTTCTTATTACTATCTGATCTACTTAAATTGTTTAGTTTTTACATTTATTCTAAAAGGAAATGTTATATTGCTTAGCAAATCAAAAGTGAGTACTGCTGGGTGTGGTAGTGCACGCCTGTAATCCCAGAGACTCAGGAGGCTGAGGCAGGAGGATTGAGTTCAAAGCCAGCAAAAGCTAGGCGCTAAACAACTCAGTCAAACTCTGTCTCTAAATAAAATACAAAATAGGGCCAGGGATGTGGCTCAGTGGCCGAGAGCTCCTGAGTTCAATCCCCAGTAACCTACCCCCTACCAAAAAAATAAAAAAGTCAGTATCATTTTCTATAAACAGAAAATAACCAAACCATAAATTAAAATATTACAACAAAAAGAACTCATGTACACTTTGGGAAATTCTATATTCCAAGAGGCTTCGCCAATATTTAGACCTGCGCCAAATGATAGCCATGAGTCACATATTTAAGTGTAATTAATGTCAAAAATTTTTTAAAAAATTCATTTCTTTTCATTCACAACATTTTCTCTGATAATCTAAAGTAATACCTTACCAACCTCTATTAGTTATTTCTCATCTCTACCTTATGTTTTTTTTCATTATAATCACTGCAACTTAGCATTATTTTGTTCATATCTGTTTACTTTTCATCTTTGCCTAAGCTATTTAAAATGACAAAGCCCATAAAAATGCATATGAAGACAACATGATAGAAAACCTGAACAAAGAAAGAGCTTAATACAGTTGGGAAATTATGTCTACAGATTCATGACGAAGTTATTTAATAAAACTTGTTTCAATTTTCAAACTATGAATTCCCCCTTCGAAAGCAGCATTGCATTCAAAATACTCAACTGGAAAAACCAACCAAACTAATGAATACAGGTAGTTTATTATATAGAGATTTAAAAAATGATAGTAAAATAAAGCAAGTCCAAGTTCAAATTTAAATACAGTATTTTAAAATATGGCTATATAATTTTAGACAGGAAAATCAGTAAAAGGAAACATCCCACTGAAAGTGGGAGTGTCCATAAACCTTTCTAAATAGTAAGCTGAGGTTGAGCTGGCAGCTCTTCTTTGGAGGTTTAAAAACATTATGAATAATAGTTACTATACACCTTAATCATTACTCAATTTGACAGTAAGAAACAAAGCAGGATACTCAGCTGATGACCCAAATGTTCAAGGTGATAAGTCACAAAATCCTAATGTATTCATGGAATAAAATGGGGAAGGACAACATGCATTCACTGGTCAGGTCAGAGAAGTGCCAGGTCATATGTTTCAGCATATTAAGTTATTATTTAGGTAAACTCATAAATTTTTGTGAAATAAAGTTAGCTACTGTCAGACAGTACAACCCTTTACTAAATGGTAAGAATGATCAAACGGCTGGCTCAATCATCTGTGTGTTAACTCCCACTTATTTTGTATCACAAACATACATACTTTTGCTCCTTCTTTAGATAACTAGTAGCTTGAATCCAGTTGTTCAATTATGGCAAATGGACAAATCTGATTTATCACTTATGAGATGGAAAAACATTTAAGTATACTGGCAAATAATTTATAGACTGGAAGATGTTTCAAGGAACACAGGTTTAATTGAAACTTTAATTATGATCCAAGAATTTTTTAAGAGAAATCCTATAAAAAGATTTGCTTTAGAAAAGCTTTATAGATATATGGTTAGCAATACTGAGAATGGTTGAATTTAAAAAAATGTTAAGATTTAATACTACATTTTCACTGGGAACATGAAGCTCTAAATTCTGTGACCGAATGAACAATGAAGAGTTTTAAAATTTTCTCTTGGAATACAACAAAAATTCAGAACAAAAAAGCAACAGACTTAACTGCAGATAACTACATAATTTTCATTCTAAATAATTTTTTAAATATTCCCAAAGCTAGTGAATAAGTGGAAAACCCATTATTTTTGTCATATTCCACAATTCTGGGAAAGTTTAGGACTTTAAATATTTTTAAGAACTTCAACTCTTTATGCTACAGAAAACAATATTATATACTATAATCAGGAAGTGGTTTCCTATAGGGCATTCATTCTTCAGGGTCTTAATTTTCTTTATTTAAAACATTTCGTAAAGGAAAAGGAAACCAGGAAAATAATGTTTTTCCTTCTCTGTTCGTAATTTTCTTAAACATGCTTTCAGGGCTGGGATTGTGGCTCAGCGACAGAACGCTCACTAGCACGGGTGGGAGCCGGGTTCGATTCTCAGCACCACATAAAAATAAAGGCATTGTGTTGTGTCCATCTACACCTAAAATATATATATATATATATATTTTAAAATGCTTTCAAAGTCACTTAAAAATAAGATTATTTCCTTTGTTGGGCACCTTGTATAAATTAGCTGTTAATAAGTGTTTCTTGAACATGAAATGAACAAAAAATTCACACTGGTATCATTAAATAACTTTTATAGAGGATACAAAAACTACTGAGACAGGTTAATATGGGCTTACAGTTCTGACAAAAATCTGTGAAAGGACATGATCAAATTAAAACTTTATATTGGTTTTCTTTATTATTATTACTATTACTACTGTCTGCCCACAAATTTTGCTGCTACCAATTCATTTCAAATCCTTTTAAGATTCCACTTCATGAGTTAAGCTTGTACAGAGAACAAAGAAGGTATGCTGTAGTTTTAAAAAAAGTAAATCCATTTTACATAGTATAGAGGCAGTTTAACATCATTAACCCATTATGTCTCATCATCCTATATATTGAATGCCTATAAAAACTTACATTGTTCTATTTTATACGTATCCTATAAGATTTTATAGGTTTTTATAAGTGTCCAATATAAATGATGATGGGACATAATGGGTTAAAGGTTATAGTATTGAAGAATATAATGGTTGGTTTTTAAGCCTATGAACTACTCTTTGCTTCAAGGGGTACTAGCAATATTTGAAGTACATCCTCAAACCTTATCATACTATGCCCAAATGTCCAATAATGACACAAGCAGAAAAATATTTGAAGCACAAAGTTGTAATGTTGATGATAAATGTTTAGAACATTAGGAATAAGATTAATGAAGAGCAAAGTAAATCTATAACAAGAAAAGGTAAGGTACATTTATTAAAAATAAAAATAATACACAGTCTCTGAAAACGAATAACAACAAAAACCATTCAGAATACAAGGACACCCAATATACACTCAAACAATGCACACATATTAAAAAAATCAAAGACCCATGAAGTAATTCTTCTAGAACTTTTAAAAGGAAAAAAAAAAAATTGGCTTCCTCCTCCTGCTAAAGATTTGTCTATAAACACACTATGCTAGACCAGCATTCCCTTTCAAATGTTCTGTACGACATGGTGTTGCACAATGTGTGCAATTACTTTGATGAACATTGTTTCTGATAAAATCATAGTTTCTGTATAGATGATCCAGAATATAAATCAGTGGTTCCATTTCATAAAAAATATTCATAAGCTGGAAGACCAGTGACGACCGTTTTCCAAAATCTTCAGTTTTAACAAAAGGTACAGACTACTAAATCTAGATGCTTTCACATTATTCTGCATGAGTTCAAGTACTGTATAAAAATTAATGTAAAATCTTAAGTTAGCCAAAACTAGTGTCTCTAAAGGTCAAAGTTCTTCTTTACTTCATGGCTGATAAATCTTTTCTGCCTCTGTCACTAATAATGTTTGTCAAACCAAAGAACTTTGAAAAAGAATATGTACTGCTGAAGGAAGATAGTACCAAATGTCATACTGAAGTTCAGTCTTAAGACACACACAGTTCCTGTTGGATATTGGACTGTGATAGTTTATTATCTTCAGTCTTTTCATGTCCTGGAGCATGGCAAATAGTCTTCCGCTTAAATAACCGAAGACTCAATCGTAATAATTCATTGTCTACCATTGGATCATTCGTGTAAGCTTGTTTTACAGTACCCTATTTGGAGAAAACGAAAACAAATAATGGGGAAAAAATGTACATTACTAGTTGATAATAGAAAGGATACATAGGTTAACCTGTACCAAAAATACCAAAGTTATAATAGTATTTAATTTTGAATGGATATTAAGTAACTTTACTGGATTAAAAAGCAAAATTACAAATGTTTCAGACTCAAATGAATCCTAGAAAAGAAAAAAAGCTTCAGAGAGCACTTAGTTTTATCTCTTGTTTAATGTAGAAATCAACAGTTCCTTACAAGTAATCAACCAGTTTTTACTCAGTCATTTCTAATGACAGAAAAAGAAAAAATTTACACTGAAAATTCTATTGAATGGAATTTTTTTCTTCATGCAATGGATAAAATCTCTTCTATGAAGTTATACCCTAATTCAATCTTATTTTTATTTGACAAAACTTAAATTCAAAGAAGAGAAGAATTATGGCTTTCTTCCTTTTGTTTTTCTGGGCTCCCGAGCTGAATAATTCTTTAAAAGACAGTTGGTCATGAAATGTATGAGGTACTACCACACTCTAAAATGTATACATTATTGAAACCTAAAGTAACATTAGCATTTTTTAAAGTTATTGTCACAAAATTTTGTTATGCCATCCCTAACTATGTGCATAATGAATAATGGTAAGATCTAAATACTACCAGCACGCTGCTATTCCTCTTCTTTTCTAGGATCCTCAAATATAAATTATAATGGTTCCTGGCTCACATTTGTATTCCTTGTGTATGTGTCTGTGTATGTTACTGAGGATTGCCTCGCCTTGTGCATGCTAGGCAAGTGTTCTATCATTGAGCCACATCCTCAGCCCTTTTCTTAAATTTTATGAGGAGACAGGGTCTTGTTAAATTGTTCAGGCTAGCCTTGAACTTGTGATCCTCTTGTCTCAGCCTCCCAAGTAACTGGGATTACAAGCACACACACCTATATTCTTTTTATAAAACATTTTATTTTGTAAGTTGTGATACAGTAAAATTAACCTTTTATGTTAGTTCTACAAGGCTGATGTATGTGGAGTAACCATGATGACAATCAGGATAGAAAAGTTTTCACTCAAACTCCCTCTGCTTGCCCTTTTGTATTCATATACTTTTTTAAAAAATGAATGTTTTTATCATTTATATGTGGTGCAGAGAATTGAGCCTGGTGTGTCACACAAGCTAGGCAAGTGCACTACTGCTAAGCCACAGTCCCAGCCCCATATTCATACACTTTTTCCAGCTCTAACCTCTGGCAACCATTGATAAATCCTCTATAAACAGCCTTTTCTAGACTATTATATGAATACAGTTTATAACCTTTGGAGATTAGCTCCTTTCCTCGGCATAATATCTTTCAGGTTCATCCATTTGTTAACCGTATTAATAGTGTGATACTTTTTGGTGACAATTAGTAAACTTATTGTATGAATTATGACATAGTTCATCTATTATCCAGTTGAAAAACACTGGAGTTGGTTTCAGTTTTTAGAGATTATGAATATAGCTGCTATTACTTTTGTGTATAGGTTTTTATATAAAACTAAGTTTTCACCTAAGACAAATATCTAGTGATAGAATTTCTAGGTCATGTATTAAATTTACATTTAAAGATGTTAAACATCTTTTCATGAGCTTAACAGCTCTCCATATGTCCTCTTTGGTGAAATGTCCAATCAAATCCTTTGCCTGTTTTTAAAAACTGGGTTGCTGATTTTTACTGTTAAGACTTAACAATATCTCTTTTTAATATATTCTGGATACACACCTTTTGTAAGAATGTGTTTTGCAAGAATTTTCTGATTAAGTTTTCTTTTCATTCTCTTTCACAGAACAAGTTTTAAATGTAGAAGAACAATTATCTCAAAATATAAAGTCAATTTTTAAAAATCCAAATTATTTTACTCCTTTCTATTATTATTATTATTATTATTATTATTATTGGTGGTACGATCACCAGGAATTGAACTCAGGGGCACTCAACTACTGAGCCACATCCCCAGCCCTATTTTGTATTTTATTTTGAGACAGGGTCTCATTGAGTTGCTTAGTGCTTTGCTTTTACTCAGGCTAGTTTTGAACTCTGGATCCTCCTGCTTCAGTCTCCTCAGCTGTTGGAGTTATAGGCATGCAGCACCGTACCCAGCTTCCTCCCTACTCTTGTTAGTCAGTCATATTTGTGTGGGTCTACTTCTGGACTCTTGGCTCTGTTCCATTAACCTGAATTTCTATTCTTTTACCAGTACCACATATCTTAAGTACTGGAGTTTTATTTATTTATTTTTAATTTATTATTTTTAGATATATATGATGGTAGAGTGTATTTTGACATTGTACATACATGGAGAAGTACTATAGTTTTATATAATAAGTCTTGAAAATGAGTAGTTCAAATCCTCTGATTTTATTCTTCTTTTGTAAAAATTATTTTGGCTATTAACTTTAACTTTTCATGTAAACTTTAGAATCAGCTTGTCTGCTCTACTTGGATTTTTACTGGAGTTGTGTTATATCTACAGTTCAATTTGGGTGAGAACAATAATCTTAACAATATTGAGCTTACCATCCATGAACATGATGTTTCTCCAGGTCTTCACTGACTTTTTATAGTTTTTGGAAAATAGATCCTGAATGTGTTTTATTATATCTATACCCAAGTAGTTCATTTTTTGAGAGCCATAAAATGAACTGTTTTTAACATTTTGGTGCCTAGGCGTTCATTGCTATAATTGTTTTTGTACAATAAATGACTTTGTTTTCTGTGACATTCTTAAACTCTATTTATTGGTTCTAGGATTTTTTTTGTAAATTCCTTGAAATTTTTACATAGCTAATCATGTTATATCTACTAATACAAATAGCCTTATTTATTCCTTTCCAATCTGTATGCTCTTTCTTTTTCTTGCCCTATTGAACTGGCTACAATCTTTACCATTAACTATTACGTTAGGTATAGATTTTAGCTACAAATTCAACTTAAAAAATAGATTAAAGACTATTCTGGTTATCTATTACTTCTTGAGTAACTTTTGGTAGTTTGTGGTCTTATAGAACGCAATCCATTTCTTTTATGCACAGTTATGTGCATATATTTAATCATAATTATCACCTAATTATCCTTTTGTCTCAGCCTCCCAAGTAACTGAGATTCATGTAACCATGATGACAATCAGGATAGAAAAGTTTCATCACTCAAACTCCCTCCGCTTGCTCTGTGGGATCTGTAGTGATATCCCTGTTTCCATTTCTGATACTAATCATTTGTATTTTCTTTTTTGCCTTGACAGTCTAGGTAACAAATTAATGTGCTCTCTTTGTATCTTTCACCTCTTTCTCCCAGGATGCACTATAAATTAGAAGCTTTAAAATTCATTTTTCTAAAAAGAAATGATACCAATATATGGGTCAATAGTTTTTACACTATTTGTCATCTTACAAGACACTACTACTTACCCTGATAAATGGTCCTGTTATGTACTTTTTTTCCATAATCATAAAACCTAAAGGTTTTTGTTAAGGCTCTCTAGAACCTGTAATAATATTTTTTTAGCTATGTCTCTTTCTTTTAGCTTTTGTAATGATATTTTAACACTGAATAATGTGAAAATCTGCAATATCTTCTTTAGATGGATCATTTAAGACATTTATAATGTGCCATTGAAACTTTTTATAATGTGTCAAATGTTAACTGTCTTGTGCCTTCTACTGAAGGATTATAAGGTTCTGAACAAAAGTTTTCCATGAGAAATTTGCAGAGGTATTTTTGGTTATTACAATTATTGACAAGCACCATGGCATGTTAGAAGAACTAACAAATGTTATAAAATACATTTTATAAAAAGACGGCAGCACATGGAGCACACCTGTAATCCCCGGAGCTCGGGAGGCTAAGGCAGGAGGATTGCAAGTTCAAAGCCAGATTCAGCTACTTAGCAAGGCCTTAAGCAATTCAGCAAGACCCTGTTTCTAAATAAAATATACAAAAAGGGCTGAGGATGTTGCTCAGTGGTTAGGCACCCCTGGATTCAATCCCATGTACCCACCCACCCCCCAAAAAGTAGTAGGATTCTAATGAGATTGTAAACCATACTGTCTTTCTCAACTGACATTCCTTATCTGAACCCAAAAGCAAATGATGTGAATAATAGTTCTCAATTTAATAGTGAAGATGGTGGTAACTGGTTATCATTTTAGGTGTGTAATATAAAAAGTGATTCATTTCACACATGTTTAGGGCATGGGAAGCCTAATTCTCTCAGAGAAATGTTCAGTTGAGAAAGGCTGCAGAGAGAGATGGGCATCCAGGCAAAAGAATGAGACATAAATTGCATTATTTAAGTGGGAGGGGGAACAGAGAATGATTAAAACAATTATCAAAAGTAATTTTGAAGTAGCCTTTAAGTGGAGAAGACTTGGTAATTATACAGTCTCAACTTGATTTTTTTAAAAGCCTATTATTCTGCATTATCTGTTTTCAGATAATTATCTTGTTTTCATAAATTAGATCATTCCCAAAAAACCTGAGTATTTTTCTTGAATCAAAGAGCCTTTTCTTTAGTAATGGTATACATCCAAGATAATCTGTTTTACCAACAGCACAAAGTTATTAATATTTTTCTAACTTTTTAAGATTAGCTTCTTTATCATACTATTCATGCCTACCACACCCACATCCAAAATAAAACTCCCAGTTTATTATTTATTTTTTTGATAAGTGAAGGATTTTATTGGGCCAGTTTATTAACTTTAAAAAGCCCAAGATGTTTTCAATTCCCTTCTATATCTAAACTTACTTTATTTTTCTTACTTTTCAATTCTTAATTCTTCTGAAGCAAATGCTTAAACTTAATAACTTCCATTTATTTCCTTCTCTTCCAACTCGACAATTTCATAAGCACTCTTCCTATAAATATCCTCACCTCTCTTTACCTGGGAATTTTTGTTTTTTAATCTTCCATTTGGAAAAATTTCTAATATGTCTGCTTCTCTAACAAAGCTTTTCACTTATGCAAAATATTTATTCAAAGAATATTTTCAACATTTTTATGCATGAAATTTTGAACAACAAATAATTATTTTTCAAAACAACCACTAATCAGTTGTTATTAAAGTAAAAGTACTATACATTTTGGCAGAATTCTTTCTTTACACGTGTAAAAGACTAGGACATCAAACTTATAACAATACTTGAGACTGCATTCTCATTTTAAATTAATCAAATGAAAAATATGACATTTATACTATTTACTTTGTATTTTTTCCAAGGAAATAATAGTACCTTTTCATTTTTAACAAGCTGCTTTCGTATTGCTGAATCCCGTCTGAAGCACAGTGCTTTACAACACGGACCAAGATCACTAAGAAGACTTGCTCTTTCTTCTTTTCGTAGTAATGCAGCCATGTTGAGAGCCCCCAATTCATGCTCAAAAAGATTGTCTGCATCTTTCAATACAAATAAACATGCATTAAATTTTCCTACAGTAGGAAAGTGTTAGCAATGGCTTAAGTTTGAGTCTATGACTTATCAAAGTTAGCAACATTGGTGAAAATTATTTTATATCAAAGGCAACATATTCTCTGCAAAGAACCTTCAACATATAGTATGTGGCTGACTTAAACAAAAATAAATATTCTGATAGCTGCTTTAAATTTGCTTAAGATAAAAGCAAACATGGGGAGGAGAATGTAGACACTGATTACTGACTATGAGAAGAAAAGTTCAAGTTCAGAATTACTGAAATAAAATTCAGTATGTTGCCTTCCATCAACTACAACTTAAAATTACAGATTTCAGCACTGTATAACAGCAAGATTCAAATGTAATAATATTCAAGATGTGACTTCTAAGAAATCAGCCAACAGAAAATGATTAGATGTTAGACTACCTCTAAGTTACTACAAAAACTTGAGACAATGTATTAAATTAGTAAAAAGACAATTTTAAGTCACAACATACAAGGGAGGGAGAAAACACTTAACACTTAACAAAAAGCAGAATCAAGAAAATATTTGATAAAAATTATTGTATTAAAAAGGAAGTAAAGAAAGACAAAAGGAAGTAAAAATAACAAAACAGAACCAGTCAATAATCAAAATAAAAGAGTAGCCAAGAGTTATTACAAAGGCATTAGGTACTGCCTCTATTCCTAAGACATGATCAAACAGGTTGCTATTAGACTCCACAAAAGAAAGCAGTAAATGGCATTAAAGTAAAACCAAATAGGATAAATTTGATACAGAATGAAAGAAGCTGCATTACTCAGTTCATTTGAATTTTCTGAAATGCAAAATATAAGCAATGAAATTAGAAAATTAACAAGAAACTACCTTCATGCAACACAGTTAAAGAGATTTGCACCTAGTTGATAGGTATATAAGTATAAATAAATATAAACTAACTCAAAACTGGTTCCCACACTCTGATGTCTACTTGAATCACTTGAGAATTTTTTTTAGTAATATACTTATCAGACCTACAGAATCAGAATCTTCATAGTTGGGCCAAGATACTCTAAGAGAAAAATAAGGGATTCCTCAGATGATTCATTCTCTCTCTCTCTCACACCCACACACAGTACCCATAGGTATTTGGACACAGACACATACACTACACACACACAAAAAAAATATTCTCCATTCTACTACAATAACAAACAAATGAAATCTGCATTGAGCCCACATTCTTTTTTGAAAACTGCCTAGTGGGACAGATGTTTTTAAAAATTTTTTTGTTGTTGCAAATGGACTATTTATTTATTTATTGTGCCTAAAATTGAACCCAGTGCCTCACACATGGTAGGCAAGTGATCTATCACTGAGCTAAAACCCAGCCCAGTAGGACAGATTTTACTGGCATCCTTGCTACCCTTATTCTGTTTTCAGACAACAAGATGTAAAACACTTTCTTTTACATATGTAAAAGACTAGGAAACCAGTACACTTTTTTTTTTTTTTTGGGGGGGGGTTGAATGGAGGGGTGATTATCCACTGAGCCACAGCCTCAGCCCACTTTTAATTTCGAGAAAGGGTCTCTTTAAGTTGCTTAGAGCCTTCTTAGCTAAGTGGCTAAAGCTGGCTTTCCTGTAAACTTCTTTAGAGTATAACATAGCTAAACTTCCTGTCTGTTCATGGTTTTGACAAACTAAACACAGACTAAACTAAAGGTAAAACAAAAGGTGCAAAATAATTGGGAAAGATTAACTGAGAAGAACTTAACCATATTGCAATTAGTAAGTCTAGATGAAAGCAAGTTCAATTTTAGTACCCATGTTCAGTTTTCTGCTTTAAACCTAAGTTTGTTTCTGTTTTATCTCAGTTTTTAAAATTATATAGGGCATGAAGATATACTCTCTTCAGTGTTGGGGCACTGAAATAGATGAAATGAATACAAACATGGGTATCAATTATTTTGCAAACAGGTACTGGATATTTTTTATGTGACAGGCATAGGTATATGCAATGCATAAGTAGTATAAAGTAGTATATAAAGAGAAAATTAGACACTGATATGGTAATGAACGAAACTAAGTCCCATTCCACATGAAATACACATTCAGCATCCTTTATCAGTTCTCTAGTATCACTGTTAGGGAACAGACAAACATAAATGGTAGGAACACAAGGTTAAGAGAATCATTTTATAAATTGGGACCACTGTGCTGATCCTTATATGCTTTCTGTTTCAAGAAGCAATTTACCTGTAGCCCTGAATGGCCTCAGTGGACAGACTATGTCACATTCCACAGCAAACTACCTGTTCACTGCAGGAGAAATGCAGAACCAAAATAATGTGGATAAGAGGAATCCATGTTACCCTGAAGGAGACTTTTGTGACCAGATCCTAAAACTCTAGGAGATAAGGATAGCTCCTCCTAACCATAAAATCTGTAAGAATGTATGGTTAAGAATCCAATTAGAACTGCTCAGCATGGGCCAAAGTGACCTAGAGCTGCCATGACAGTGGAGACTTGAAAGTATGATGTCACCCTGCTGTCAGTCAAAAGTCAAGAGGTGGACCTGCGCAAGGCTCTCTGGAAACTTCCCTGGGGTCCCCAACAAAACTGGAGTGCAGGGGGGCTGGGGATGTGGTTTAAGCAGTAACACGCTCACCTGGCATGCGCGGGGCGCTGGGTTCCATCCTCAGCACCACATAAAAATAAAACAAAGATATTGTGTCCACTGAAAACTGAAAAATAAATATTAAAAAATTCTCTCTCTCTCTCTCTCTCTTCTATCTTAAAAAAAAAAAAAAAAAAAAACTGGAGTGCAGTAGAGGCACATTGTCCCTCTCTGAGAGGACCCACTCTCTCTCTTAAGAGTGTCCTCTTCTCCTCTTTTCCTGTCAATAAACTTTCCCCCTTTTCCCTTTAGTAAATTCATTCCTATTACTCTAAGCAACATTTCTAAAATCTTTCTGACTAGATCACAAGAGTAGGGGCTTGAAAGTAGGTCTTTACACTGCCTCAGTTTCTTGGAAGGCCTCAGCTATGTAACACCACCATCACAGCAGCAAAAATTAGGAGAGGTCTGATTGTTAAGCAACAATCAAACCCTCCTCTTACAAACAGTTCATAGTTTCAGGTCTTAACTTAAGTCACCATTAAGTAAGCCCTCTATTAAACTTTCATAAGAAAGTTTATTTTACAACTTTTGCAACTTCTCTGTAGAATTAAATTTTCCTCAAAAAAATTTAAGGAATTTTGACCATGAAGATTAAATTAATGAATATAAATGATTGCTCCAAAAAACAAAAACCAACAAAGAAGTTCCTATAGTGTGAGTACTACATGACAACTAAACAGAATTCTTTTCAACAGCATCCTAATAGTTACAACAGACATTACATAGTTAAAGTAAATGGAATTACCTTTGGGTTTTTCTAAAAGTCTCTGACATGTTTCTTTGACTTTGGTAAAGAGCTCAGAACCTGCCAGCTTTTTAGAAATCCCAACTCTTAGCATAACAGCTCCAGGTGTGAATTTTAAGAGTGCAGCCCCAGGTTCTCGTGGTTCTTTTGGATGTTTTGGCATAAGACCAGACCAATCCACATCTATCACATCTAATGGATCTGTAAAAAATTAAAGAATAATACTTTTCTTTACATCAAAAAATAAAGAAGGCTTAACTACAGAGAAATAGATTTGGTCCTTGGTAACCATTTATGGATTCAACTAACTATAGATAAAATATATATATATATATATATATACACACACACACACAGAGAAAAGTCTGAATTGAACATGTACAGCCTTTTATTTCCTTATAATTATTCCCTATACAATACAGTCTAGCAACAAACTATAACACATTTACATTTTAGTAGGTATCAGAAGTAATCTAGAGATGTTTTAAAGCATACAGGAGGACGTGGATACGTTACATGCAAATACTGAGCCATTTTATATAAGAGAATTGAGCATCTGCAGATTTTGTGTGCAGCTCATGATGTCAATCTCCTATGGATATGGAGGGATGACTGTATAAATCAAGTAAGCACAGCCTTAACTCATAAATAAATAGAGTTATTTTCTTAAAATTTCAGCTTTCTCATAAAAATGAATATTTAGAATCTTAAAACTCTCCACCAAAAGAAAACAGGTAAGCTAACCCTACAAAATAATTCATTTAAAAATTAAATGGGAGATTACCAATGAAAGAACTCTATTATTTCACTAAGATAAGGCCTGATATTTTGAAACTTGGTACCAGAATCATATCAAGGATTAAATCTAGGAGCATATTTAGTTTGCCTGTATGCACACATACATACATTATAGAAGAAATAATTGATTATGAAATTTCTTTAAGAATCAGACAGTGACTATTATTAACAGTGAGAGTGAATAATCCATCAAGAAGAAACAGCTGAAGAAATATAATAATGTTCTATTTAGAAATATCTAATACCAACAAATGACAAAGATAATAATTATATCTTCCACATTAGTATGAAAATTTGTGAAATACGAGCAGAGAAAAATAAAAATAAAAATTTTGTATTTTACATAGCCAGACCCAGTACAGACCCTTACTATTATTTAAACAAACAAACAAAAAAGGTTGGGAGTACTCAGAAACAAACTGATACAACTGAATGATAATGTCAAGGAATGTTGTTTCATGGGATAGTTACTTGAGTAAGCTCTGGCAATGTATAAGTACAATAAATAAAAATAATAATTACTGAATTTAGAAAACTGAAAGAAGTTATAAAGACTGCTCAAATACCACCTCTGCAAATGATTACCTGGCATCTTCTCTTCATCCTGTTGGTCCTCTCTCTTTTCTGCATCACCTGCCAGAATTTCATCTAGTTCATCATCACTAATTGGCTCATATCCTTCTCCAGCACCAGATCCTAATGAATGTGCATCATCTAACTTGGATTCATCATCTCCTGCTAATACACAAATTCATTTCATGTTAAAAAAAGTATTTAAGGGAAGGGATGCCTAAATCAAACAAAAATGTAAAGGCTGTACACACTGTAACAATGTGAAAAGCATTTTTTTAAACAGAAAGCTATCTTTTTAAACTAGTCAAATACTTCATAGTTTCAAAAGCAAACTACAAAATAAAATTGAATTAACTAAATTTATTTTAGTAGTTAAGAACACAAAATGAACAGCAATTATCAGATAAGGTCACAATTAAAATATCAAAAATAAAAAGATATCACTAATACACTAATATTGATTATGTGTATTGTTTTAATTTTTGACAATAAAACTTCACAATCTGAAAAATCTTCTAACTTCAAAAGACTGTAATAATTTCTTTAGCTGAATAAACTCATTATAAAAAAAAAAAACAAAAACTTGCTTTTTTTTTTTTTTTTTGGTGGGGTGAAACTAGAGATTGAACCACCAGGCACCAGGAGTATTCTGCCTCTGAGCTACATTCCCAACCCTTTTTATTTTGAGACAAGTTATTACAAAATTGCCCAGGTTGGCCTTGAATTTGAGATCCTCCTGTCTCAGTCTCTTGAGTAGCTGGAGTTACAGGTGTGTGCTACCACATGCCTGGTTCATTGCAAATTTATTTTAAAAAGATATTTTAAACTTAAGTCTTAGTTCATGATATTTTACTCATTACAGAAAGAACTTTCTAGCAGTGAGGTAAAAATGTGAAGTATCACTAATTCTCTTCCCTATCCCAACATTTTCATCTAATTAATGAATGCAATTTTAGAAGAACGCTATAATATAACTTAAAAATATTTTTGCTGGTATTTCTACTTTTCTCAACTAGTATGTATGCTAAACTTTGTTTCCTGGTGAGTTAGTTAGAAGTTCACTCCCCAAATTACTAAGTATGTTCAATGTTTCTACTGGCAATCTATATACTTTATGGAATCTAAAACCCTTACTTTCGAATGACAACACTATGGTGCATGGGTATGAATGTGCACCAAATAAAATTTGAGGCTATGAAATGTTTCTAGTCATTCTGATAATTTTTTGTTCTATTAAATTCTATAAAATTTTCCCCATATCCCCACAAATTCATTTCTAAGACAACCCATTTTAATAACTGGTTATACAAATATGTATCTAAACATAAATGTAACAGCATTTTAAAATTTTTAAGCTTATACAACTCATTTTCCTACTTTAAGTGAACACATATATCATACAGCAGATGATTTACCTCTAAATGTCTATGCTGTATTATCTGTAGTTGCAACTAAAAAAATGGTAACATTTTAGGAATGAAGGACACTGACACACAAGAGCTATTATAATAATTAGTTCAATATATCCCAAGGTTGGGCCTACATCAGAATCACGGCTCATGCTATTTATACTTAAACTTGAGATGAAAACATAATATGAAAAAAAAAAACAGTAGAAATGTTTAAGTCAAATAGAACAAAAATATGTATAACAGATAGCATATGAGATGTCTAATCCGTTTTTAAAAGTCGTGGATTTTACTATAGGCCAAATGCTGTCACGGCAAATTAAAAACAAAAAAATCATAATCTTAGTGCTTAGAAATAGGAGGTTATGTTAGAAGTATGATTTAAAAACTGATACCAGAAATGGAGAGTCTTAGGAAGGCAGAAATTTCAGGAGAATTCTCAGAGGGGCCATTATCCCTAGGCTATAATTCACCAAGAAGTATGTGGAGTATACATGTACAGACACAACACATCTTCTTTCATCAGCTATTGATAAAAAGGAGTACAGTAAAATGGGGAGAAAAATCACAAAAAATATTACAATACTGTATGGGAATACTATAAAAGATGTACAAGCAAGGTGCTGTAAGAATGTGAAAGTGCCTTTTGCACAGGTGGCTTCATAGAGAAAATAACTGAGACAAAGTCTGAGTAAGGAGGAGATGATGTAAGTGCAAAGGTCTATCCGGAAATTGGAAGAACAGGTACTAAAAATGGATAGAGAAAGGAAAGGCATGAATCAATTTGTCTAGTTTATTGTAGGCAAATATTCTGAGACAGTACATAAGCAGTAATTTTTTTTTTAAATTATTTGTATCTGCCATATGATAGCTTTTGGCCTATAGTTTATAAAAGTAGATCCTTGTATCTCTTAGTTATCTGATTAGATATCTCAGTTTACCATCTGTTTTATATATATATCTTTACCTTTCCCCCAGTTCCAATTTGGCTTGACCAAAACAATTCTACCTCATTTTTTTTTTTTTTTTTTTTTTTTTTTGGTACCAAGATTTAAACCAAAGGGCCCTAAACCACTGAGCCACAACCCTAGCCCTTTTTTTGGTATAACACACCCTCTAGAACTCTCCTAGAGCTTATCTTTCTTACCTTTTTTTTTTTTTTTTTTTTGCACTGAGCCACAACCCTAGCCCTTTTTTTGGTATTTTATTTAGAGACAGGGTCTCTCTTGAGTTGCTTAGGGCCTCACTAAGTTGCTGAGGCTGGCTTTGAACTCAAGATCCTCCTGCCTCAGCCTCCTGAGCCACTGAGATTATAGTAGTGCACCACCAAGCCCAGCTCTACCTCAGATTCTTTACATTACTGAATATAACTAAACTAATCACTGTGATTGCACTCCTACAATTGAAGCTGGAGTCTCCTTAACCTGATAATAAAAGTCAGTTTATCTAGCAAAGTGGTAGTGAAGAATGAAGAATAGAGGCAGTATAGAGTAAGGTTCCACAGAGCTAAGACTGGCTCAGACTGGGCCAAAGTGTTCATGCTGACTTCTCTGCATTCCTGTTCTAGGACTGAGGAATGGCAGGAGGGCTCTATAGTTGATCTGCCATTAAATGCAGTTTTAGCAAGTTTTATTATTTCATATATTTGTTCTCAGTTGCCCTAGAAAAGAGGAACCTCTAATAGTTATTTGAATCCTTCTCTGAACTAAAATGTCAATTTTTGTGATTTTATTTTATTCTTAACATTTAAGAAAAAAGATGTGATGGTTATTCTTCAAAATCTGTGGACATTGTATCTAAGCAATGTTTCAATGGTCGGGCATAAACAGAACTGAATATTTCATTCTTCGATCTCTTTTTTTTTTTTAAATTGATTTTGTTTTTTAAATACATGACAGTGGAACGCATTATAATTCTTATTACACATGTAGAGAACAATTTCTCATATCTCTGTTTGTAGATAAAGTATGTTGACACCAATTCATGTCTTCATACATATACTTTAAATAATGATGTCCATCACATTCCACCATCATTGCTAACCCCCTGGTCCCTCTCTTCCCCTCCCATCCCTCTGCCCTATCTAGAGTACTCACTTTTTATTTCAAGAACTATTTCTTTTATTTCATTAGGATTATTTTAACGCAAATTTGTACTAGAGGGAAAGACATATTTTAGTATTACAGGAATTTTCCTTATGAATCTACTTCCTCTAATGAAATCAATTTGCCTTTCAAAAGAAAATATTTACTTCACATGAAATTGGAAAAGGAATGGAGCATATGAGATGTCTAATCTGTTTATAACAGAGAAAAGGGTGAGGCACTCACCTTCCACACTCTCAGTTCTCTCAGCTTTATTTATATCTTCAAATCCTTGCACAGATCCCAGTTCTTTATCCATTCTTTCTTTATCCAAAGTTAGAGTGTCTCGGGAAGCGGCTTCCAGGTCTCTTTCATGTTCACTCTCCAGTTTTGCTTCACTGCGTTTCACAGACTCTATCTGAGAAGAAATCTCAAAAGTTCTATCTCTATCTCTGTCCCTTTCCACAGATTCAGGAATTAGTCTCTCTCTTTCCCTGTCCAGGTCTCTCCTTTTGTCTCGCTCTCTCTCGCGTTCCCGCAATCTATCTCGATCTCTGTTCCGTGGCCAGTCTTTATCGGCTTCTCGGTCCCATTCTCTTGGCCTTGTATCCCTCCTCTCTCTCTCCCGCTCTCTATCATGCTCATATCGATCTCTTTCTTGAAGCCTATCTCTGCTATCAAAAGACCCAGATCTTGAATGGACTTGCCGATCTGACTCAGGAGAACTTCTTCTTGAACTATGGCTTCTTGAATCCTGGCGATCTATAATAAATATGCCACATACAAAAATTATCAGGAAACAGAAACAAACGCTTCATTTTAGAATCTTTTAAAGTTACAATTTACTTGCCAATATATTTTCTCAATATTTTCAATGTTCTATATACTCTGTACATTCTACATACACATTTCTCTACATACATATACAAAGAACTCATTTTAGGGACAAATTTCTCTCTCTCAAGGGGTTAATCAAAGTATGTTTAAAAAATTTCCTTGTCAGCCGAGTACAGTGGTACATACCTCTAATCATTCCTAGCAACTTAAAAGGCTGAGGCAGGAGGATTACAAGTTCAAGGCTAGACTTCAGCAACTTTGTGAGACCTTGTCTCAAAATAAAATATTAAAAAGGGCTGGGGATATAGCTCAGTGGTAGAGCAGCCCTGGGTTCAATCCCTAGTACCAAAAGAAAAAAAAGGTTTCCTTGTCTATTTCCAGTACAAAAATATCTTGAAATATGTACATAAAATGGTTAGATATTAATATGTACTTAATTCTTTGACTTCTCTTTACTCTCCTATCTTATTTTCTGAGGCAAAAAGAGCAGTACTGGCTATAGAAAGAATAGCAGGAAGGTTACATTTGCAAATGTTGATATAGGACTGGAGTAGAGAGCCTTTTCACCAAATCATATCATTAAAATCCTAACATTAAACTGTTAATAGCACTGAATGTATCTCTATTATAACATTGGTCTTAAAGTGATAATGGATGAGATTTTAAAGGGATAATGAAAATAAACGATGATTTCTTAATGGGATGAATAAGCCTCCTCCCACACCAAGTTCCACAAAATTAAAAAAAAAAAAAGATTAGCCATCACATTAAAAAGCATGTATAAAAAGTAACTAGGCATTACTTTAGCATTATAATTTGTATAAAATATACTAACACAGGAAACAATGACTAGATCATAATTCAATTTTATTACCTGAAGAAGTACTTCGGCTAGGCTCTCCACGCTTTAACTGGTCAATCCTAGATTTTCTCTCTCCTGTGATTTCTAGACTTTTTGTTTTTTCTCTATCTCTTGAACCACTATGCAGCACTCTCTTTCGACTACCTTGGTCATCCCCACTTCTATGGGCAGAATCATTGGATGGAGAGCGCAGACGGCCAGAGGTGTGACTACGATTACTCCGATTGCTCCCAAGGCTGCTGCTCCTCTTTTGATCCACTGGCTTTCGATGTGGTGTATCTTCTATGGTTACATGAGGTGCCTCTACTTTTTCTGCTCGTGTCCTATGGCATTTTCTGTGTGACTCTTCATTGGCAAAAGTAGCACTAGTAGTGTTGGTGGGGTTCGAAGAGGTGGAAATGGAGGCGGAGGAGGCAGTAGCAGCAGTAATAGGAGTAGAGGCAAGAGCAGCAGAGGCAGCTGTACTGGCACTAGCCAAAGGAGGTGGAGGAGGGAGAAGAGAAGATAGAGGAGAAGGGGTACTACCAGGAGTAGCAGCAGAGGCAGCATGCTCTGATTCTGTCACCTCTGTACGGTCAGGCACATCCTCATCAGACCAGTCACTAAAGGCTGTATCTTCTTTCTTCTGAGGATCCTCTAGCATACCATCCTTATCGTTGGAAATTTCAACTAAATCCTCTTTGGTTGTCATAGGGGGAGTTCGTGGCCCTCTTTTCTTCTTATTTTGCTGGGTTGCTTCTTCATCAGAAATATCAGAATCACCTTTGGATCTTTTACGTTTTTTTTCAACATTTTTCTTCTTCTGTCCTTTTTTAGGGGAGAAGACTTGACCATCTTCAGATGTTGTCTCAATGGTACTCCTCTCTATTCCAATATCATCCTCTTTCTTTTTCTTGATAGGTTTCTTCTGAAGTTTTGCTTTTTTCTTATTTTCCTCATGAGCTCTATCAGATGTGTCTCGATCTTCAGACGGGTGGTGGCCAATCATGTCTTGTGTACGTGCTCTTGAGCTTTCCAAGATTTCTGTCTGTTCTCTCTGCTTTTCTACAGAAGAAACTTTCTCTTTGAGTTCTTGCTCTTCATAGCGCCTTGAACTCTCTTTTCTTTCTGGTTTACGATCTTCTTCTTTCCATCTACTCTGCCTATCTTCAGGGAGGTGTGATGGGCTGAGAGAACGAGATTCTTGAGGTCGTACAACCTGGCTCAAGAGTCTGTGTTTTTCATCTATACAAAAAGAGAAAAATAATCACATATTCACCAGGTGAATAAACACTGCACATTACATTTAAATAACAATTAGACAATCTCTCACTTTTCATCTGAAAACTTTTCAAATGACAGACAAAAGCCTACTATTTGGATTTAACTACAAATGGTAGGAAAAGACAATGCCATTATGATAAATGATATACTTCTCAAACATACTTTAATCACATAAGGAAATATTTAGAGGCAGTAGATCCAGAAAACTTTTTAAAAAATCTTAATTTGTCAGTTCCAATCAGTGTCAAAGAATGATCTCATAGTAAATGAGTATGAATACAGAGACACAGAAAACAAAAAGTGCTCACTTTTATCATCTCCACTGTTGTAAGTGTCACTGTCAGGAGAATGTTCACGCCGGCGCTTAGGTGACTGCCGAGGACTGGGACTCCCTTCATTTCTATAGCGCTTCCTAAATTGGGCAAAAAAATACAACTTATAAAATTCTAAAGGGGGAAGATTTCTTTACTATGTTTTTTATTAGTATATTTTACTATAACTTATAATTATAGGAAAGCAATATTGTCAAAGCTGTATCATACAAAGGTATTAATAAAGTTCATTACTTCATTTGCTAATACTTCAAATTGTAGATTTAAAATACATGGCAACATCTCTTTCTTTCATTATTCATGGAAAATCATTCAAGTGAAAATTGTCATATTTAAATACTGCAAAATGATAATATACAGTTTTGTGAAATCAATAAACTAATGTACCCTCTAATATAAACATTAACCAATTTTACATTCTTATGATATAGAAATTACTTTGTGCAGGGAAAACAGGTAAGAAAATCTAGTATTATTTTTGGAATAAAAAAGCTATGAGTTCAGTTTATAGCCACATTACTTATTATGCAGCCTTAAGTAAGTTCCTTAATTTGTCATTTGAAGTTAGGGAGAAAATAGCTCATTAAACTGCAGTGAAGTATACATTAGTTATGTCATAAGCCCAGTGCCAGGCATATTATTTGTACATTGTAAAAAATAACTTCCTTTTCCCTTCTTTGAATTAAAATCACTTGCTTGGTGATAAGTAAATAATTCATATATTCATAATATTTCTTTTTCCTTAGTTGAGTTTAAAATAAATATTGATTTATTCATCTTGGTTCTTATATTATTCCAGTATTTTCTTACATTTTTGTTACATTTGGACTACTTATTTTTTATCAACATTGTTTGTTTATAAACATTACAGTCAAAAGTTGAGAACGATGCTGCAGCACATCCATTGGGACAGCTTCTTTTGAGTGACCAAGTGAAGAAGGCAGTCCCAGGAGTACTGTAACAACTCACAGGCCTCAGCTTGTGCAAGTCCTTATCCAAAGCTTCCACCATCAATTGGTGGCCTACTTCCTCACTCTTTAAATCTGGGCAGGACTAGTGACTTGCTACATGACAGAAGAATGTGGTAAAAGTTACACTGTACAAATCTGGAGAGGACCCAAGAAGCTTTACAGCTTCTGCTTTTGCTTTCGAGGTATGCTCTATTATTGTACACAAAAACAAAATTTAGACTACTGGAGGATGAAAAGTCAAATGGAGGACAAATAAGGTGTCCCAAATGCCAGACATGTGAGTAAGGACACCTTGAATCATCTGGGTACGATTGAACTTTCAGGTCAATTGTAGACACACAGTTATCTCAAGAAGGACCAGCAGAATATACTCTGCTAAACCCACATAAAATCACTCATCCACAGAATCATAAGCAAATAAATGGTGGCTGTTTTAAACGACTAACTTTTGAGACATTTAACACAGTAAGAAATAACTGATTGATACACTAGAATAAAGTGAATATTTGAAGTATGGTAAAAATGATTCATAATTATTTTTATGAAACAAAATTAGAGTAAAATGAATACTATGGTAATGCAGCAAACCTAAATAACTTTTTTAAAGTGCTGGATAAATTCAAACTACTGAGATGAAAGTATAAATAACAACTAAGTGAAGATATTAATATTATTTAACTAGTTTTTCTTATTGGTTTGTTTGACTCCTAAGTTTCTAGGGTCAGTCCCAACTCTTAGGATTTTCATGGCTAATTAGTCATGAAAAAAACAGAAAAACTGTTGCTTATTATAAGCAGAAATGAGAAGTAAGAAAAAATATTAATCAAAGCAGAGAAGTGGAGAAAAGACACATAAAGATTTGAGAATTATAATTATAGAAGATAGAGAGATGTAAAAGTCAGAGAGAGAAGAAAATATTATGTATGTTTGCCTACATGTGATAAAGGAAGAATCTCTGAAGCTCATTTTAATGTAAAATTTTTAATATGTGGGGAGAGGGAAGCAGGAAAGTAAGGTAGAGAGTACATTACAGTAAATTTTGGTTGCAGATTAAAGAGCAGAATGAGTGCCAAGAAAATATCTTTTGGCCCTAATAGTCACATTCTGCTCTTTAATCTGAAACCAAAATTTATTGTAATGTACTCTCCACCCGAGGTTCCACTTTGGTGCTGAATTGTACCCCAATAATTCAGAAAAGCAATGATGGAACTGGCTTAGCCAAGAACTGTCTACTTCTCAATCAATGAGAGCCCCAATACAAAGAGGACTGCTAAAGTAGGTACAATTCTAAGGCCAACAAAGGCATCATTTGGAGACAAATTTGATGAGACTATAATCAGCACAGAGGGAAACAGTGGAGAGATATCATTCCTATAATAACCTGGTTAGAGCCACATCAGAACAAATCAAAGCTAACCCTCAACTTCCCAGATACCTAAACAAATAATTTCTTTTGATGAAGGTGGGGAGAAGGGTGAGGGGGGAGAGAGAGAGGTGAGACAGAGAGAAAGAAAATAAAGAAATAAGGAAGGAAGGAAGGAAGGAAGGGAGGGAGGGAGGGAGGGAGGGAGGGAGGAAATGTCCTCAGATATATTCTATGAGATGCCAAGAAAATATCTTTTGGCCCCAATAACCTACTATATATCTTCACAGCATGAGAGGACACTTCCTTATCTCTCATCTTCTAGCTACATAACAATTATAGGAATTCTTAGGTCCTATAATACTGTGAATTGTTTCCTATAGCCTAGAGGTGTGACTCCATATTTACAAGCATAAGAAACTCAGGCAGTATCTCTTGGTGACTTGCCATCATCATTAACTAGTTATCAAGAGGATGTAGTGGGACACAAGTTCACTATCACTTTTATGTTGGATTCCTCCTAAAAAAGTCTATAACAAGTCAAGAAAGCTCACATGCCATAAAAAATGCACAGGAAATAAGAAAGAGTATTCTATGGTTTGGATGTGGTTTGTTCCCCAAAGGCTTGGTTCTCCATGTAGTAGTGCTGAGGTAGCAGAACCTCTAAGAGATGGGGCCTACTGCAAGGTGATTAGGTCATTGGAGGCACTGCCCTTGAAAGGGATTAATGCTGGTCTCACAGAATGAGTGGGCTCAGAGCCAGGCCAATCTTTCACTTGGCCTGTTCTGTTTCTTCACCATGTTTTAATACAGCCAAGGGAGCCCTCACCAGATGTTGAACAAATAGGGTTGCTTGATCTTGCACACACAAGTCCCTGAGCTAAATAAGCTTGTTTTCTTTATATATTACCCAGCTTCTAAACAAATTATTACAGATTAATTATAGACCCTGGATTAAAATATAAAAAAAATTATTTTCTAGATAATTAAAGAATTTACACCATTTTATTTGTATATAATAAATTTGACACACAAAAAGAGAAGACAAGACTTAATAGAAAATTAAGGGAACACTGAAAAGCATTAAATAAAACTTATGAATTCTTTACTGAAATGAACTTTCTAAAATTGATTCATATCATTCTTACTTTGATTTTCTCTCATCATGTCCATCTCTCGGATTGCGATCTTCTCGAATATCTTCTCGCTTTTCTCTACGGTCATCTCGTCCCTTGTCCTTTTCTTCCCAATCCCGCTGACGTTCTCGTTCTTTATCCCTTTCTCTTGCTCTTTCTCGTTCCCGTTCTCTCTCTCTTTCCCGTTCTCGCTCTCTCTCCCTCTCTCTTTCTTCTCTTTCTCGCTCCCGTTCTTTTTCCCTGTCTCGCTCCCTCTCTCTTTCCCTCTCTCGGTCATGATCGCGATCTCTCTCTCTTTCACGTTCTCTCTCCTTTTCTCTTTCTCTTTCTCTCTCCCGTTCCCTAGCACGCTCTCTTTCTAGTTCTCTTTCTTTTTCTCTTTCCCGATCTCGTTCACGTTCCCTCTCTCTCTCCCGCTCCCTGTCTCGTTCTCGTTCCCTATCTCTGTCTCTAGCCCTTTCATCTCTTCTATCATCCACTCTGTCTACTCTTCGTTCCTCTCTTCTTTCATCACGCTCAAGCTCGTCATTCCTTCCCTGATGTCGAATTGGTGAGCTTGGTCTTTGATCTACAATGAAAATCAAGTTTTGTCAGTGATTAATTTAATAGATAACCTATAGGTTATACAGCATGGCAAATCTTAAATTTTATCTGTGTATATATGGGTCACACTGGCAACAAATTATAAATCAAGTACTATATTTACTTTAAATTTAATCATCCAAATATTAATCACCCCTAGACCTTTAAAAATTATTTTCTTAAATATATTTTCAATTTCCCTCTAACTACCATGTTTTCTGCTCCCCATCAACCCCCAACCCCCTCCCACTTATCCACCTTTGATCTTTCTCTGCATGCTCCCTACCCTACCTCCAGCCCACTGCTCCAACCCCGCTTTCTGCCATCTCTACCCTTCACCTCTGATCTTCTCTGTCCCCCCAGCAGGACCTGAGAACACTGGTGGCAAAGGATAGGGGCAGCAGGAGGTGTAGAACATAGGAGCTGAAGGAAAAAAAAAATTTCCCTCGTAAGTCACACCTCTAATTTCAGGCCAAAATATATACACATCAAAGTGCAGCTATTATGTGAGGAAAATATTGTAGAACAAACTAAACTAGAATTAAGGGTACTGAAGGCTAATAATCTTGGAACAATCAAATGTAAAAAGTGTTTCATATCAGTGATATATATTTATAATTACCTAACTGCTAATAAAAGTTTTATTTAATCATATAAATGAATACTCAGATAAAAAGTTGTTGTCCTAAAATGTTAAATGATAATCTCAATCACATTTTATATATTTTTTCCAATCTACACACAAATCACACAAACACAGAGAAATGAATACACGCTGCTTAAATAACCACTTGAGCAATAAAATTAATTAGTCTGGGATCAAAAAATGTATAAAAGGATGGCATCAACTTTTCCCCAGAGCCATGTTTAAAGCAAATACTGTGACATAATCTAGGCTATTGAGATGTTTCTACTTCTGTGCAATACAAATATATCTAACGATTAATCAATGAAGATCAAACTATACTATGTCCAATGGATTGGTAAGTGAAACATCTAACATCAACTTATTAAGCAGAAAAATTTTGGAATATTTCCAGAGAAGGAGTCAATATAGTAGCTTAAATTTCTCTTCCTTAGCACTATGAAAAGATATGCATAGTTACTATTTAGAGGTTAGATTCAGCATAAAAAGGAATTTTAAAGCTAGAAGAAAAAAATGAAATCTTATATAGTCTTTTCTTGTCTTACTTCTTAAAAAGCATAAATTATAGTCCAAAAGTGATTTTGGTGACTTGTCAGTTACAGAGATGGTAGATGCATTAGGACTTTAGGACTAGAAAGTCAATTTTTCCTAAATCTTTTTATTTTTGCTGAAACTAATTTAAATTAAAGTGGTTCTATTGTTATATATCTATATTTTAGATTGTCTAAATTCCTGATTTGGGGATCATAATCAAAATCATAATTACAAATTACCTGAAACATTTAATACTGCAACTTACATTAATTCATATTTGAAATTTCTGAATAAAGGAATGTCAGGGAATAGACTATTCAGACACTTTCTAGGCAGATAAAACCTTTATTCTCACATACAAAATGGTAATGTCCCTAATTTCAAAGGAAAATGGAAAGAATACAAGAGCACCACTCTTAACATGTCTAAACTATCTTCCAAAATATGTTCTTCAAAGATATGCTTTCTTCACATATTTCTTAAGTAACAACAAATCTATTAATTACAGCTGGCAACTTTTGAATTATCCAAATATTGCCATACCCAAATACTATCAATTTCATTTCTAGAATCTTTCTTTTCCTTTCACTATCTCTACAGTTACTATATTAACTCAGACCTTGATCAGCTCTTCTCAGATGATTATGTTATCAACAGTCTATCTTTGCCTTCAGTTTTTCCCCAGATACTTAATATGTTTTTGAAGAAAACTCTATTCGTTCCATCTGCTTAAAAGCAGTTATCTTATACAGAGTGAAAAGCAATTAAATTCAAAATGTTTAGCCTGACTTATTAGGTCATTTACAACCTGGTCTCTATAGTCTCTTATCAGTCCTCTTCCCTGGCTCCTTTCCTTCCCTACAAATCATAACATACCTCTACTCTAACCTCACAACATAATTCTTTATTCCTCCAAAGCATATGTTTCTTTTAGTCCTGTGTGTCTGCTTATGTTGCACCTCTGCTGGAAAACACTTTTTCCATTATTCCTTCTAGCAAACTTAAATATTCTGAAGGCCCTAATTCAGATGTCCTCTTCCTAATTAAAGCACCTTTCTTGGAATTCTGTTTGGTCCTTTGTCTTCTCATAGAACTTTACATAGCACTAACAATTATATTTTAGTTGTCTATTTGTACTAGACTGTAAAGGTCAGATCTAAAGGAAAGATTTAAATTTCTGAGGACAGAACAAAGTACTTGTGTATATCTCTACCCTTAACCTCTATGAATCCCCTACTACTCACTATACTTTAGTCACATTAGTCTTCTTTCTAATTCTAAGACACGTTAGGCTATTTCCCACCTCAGAGCATTACACCTGCTCTTTTCATGGGATGCTTTTTATCTTTGAAAAACTAGCTACTTCTCTTGCATTTATGCCTCTACATAATTTTTTTCAAGTTGTTCATAAACACTACACAACAGGTCCTTCTCTTATTCTTTATTTCTATCTGGGGCTACTGTTTGTTTCCTTGATAACCTCAATAATCAGTTACTTTAGCGAGGAGAGGGAGAATCCCCACCTCTCTGCCCCACTTTAAGTTCTATAAGGAAAGAACTATTATATATTAGCAAAGTGCCTGGCATGGGTACTAAAGGCACAGAATATATCATTAACCTCAAAAATAGGTTTCTCTTTTAATCATACATTTGATATTCACTAAAGTAGTTATACTTTGAAATTTCCTTCCTGTATACTGGTAACTTAACTTCTCTTAGATCTAATCTCTTAATTGTGAAACATGGATTATTTTATCATATATGTATATATATACACACACACACACACACATACACACACACACACTCACAGGGAACGTTGTAAAAATTAAGCTAAAAATATATATTTAAAGTAACTATCAAAGTTTCTGACACCTAGTAAAAGCTTAATATGTGTGGTTAAACTAAACACAAGATTGAAACCAAATCTTCCTATAGAATTTAGGCATGAGATGAGGAAAAACCTGAGCTAGGATGTGAAAACAGAAATAAAGTATCAGGACAGTGAAGAAAGGTTGTCAAAGAGCTAAGGAAGAAACAATTTCAGAAATACAAAACGTATAAACTCCAACCCTATATATAGTTGAGGAAATCCTACACATCTTTTAAACCAAGTGCACTGGGCTTACCTTTAACAAACAACCCAACTAACTCTCCTGTGTCTAATCTTATCCCCAAAGTAGATGATGTCTTAGAGACTTTGCTCTTCTTCTATTACCACCCATATCAATATAGGAAGATAGTTTTTTGATTCAACCCACACTAAAGCACCAATATTCAATCTTCTGGTCCACAAAATTGCATACTATTTAAATCTCAGCATTATAGCAAACTTTACTTTAGAAATCAGCCAAGATAAGTGAGACCTTCTTCAGATTTTAAATGTTTAAAGGTCCTAACATGTACAGGCAATAAAAGCATGCTAAAGAAAGTACTTACAACCCTTAAGGGCTTCCTAGTAATTCTGTTTCAAAATTGAGTTTTAAGAGATCATCTAATTAATGGAAAACTTTAACTTTCGACAGCTCAGAATATAAATTAACCAGAGCAAATATTATATATTTTCAGAACAGACTATAAACAAAATGTTTCACTGAACAATCTCCAGCCCTAACAATTTCCTTGTTCCTCTCTCACAGTCCTTATAAGACTCTACTGATCACAGCTAATGAGTAAGTAGGCAGGATCCTTAGCTGAAGATTTAGGTATTTCCTGAATCAGAACTGCCTGGGATGGCTCTAATCACCTACACTTTTAAAAGAGTTGTGAGCAATTTGGTTAAGATGAGAAACATGCAATAGAGCCTCCCCCCATTCTTATACTTTGCTGCCTGAGGTACTGATAGCTGTCTATTTACATAATCCCTCCAACAGCAATTCAACAAAGACTATATGAATAAATAGCTTCAAATGATCATCAAGCACTTATCTTAAAAGACATTTTACATTAAAAAGTAAATCAATATTCACAAAAAGTAAATTGATAACCATTTTAAAAACAATTTTCTTTATACAAGTTGGTTACTATATAATAAAATTCTGTTTGACAAACCTCTCTCTCTGTTGTCGCGACGATCTCTCTCTCCATGTCTTCTCTCAAAGGAAGAATCCCTTGCTTGATCTCTGTTGTCTCTTTCCAGATATCTATCTCTTTCAGGATAGCTACTCCGAGTTTCCCAGCTGTCATGATAGTTGCTACTACTACTGTGACTATCAATTTGAGAACCTCTCGTGCCTCGACTTCCTAAACAAAGGATATTCACACAAATAATTTAACACATAAACAATATTCAACAAGTTTGTCAGTCACAATCCTTTTTCCTAAAAAAAACACTAGTTTTTTTTTGTATTCCAAAATGTGGTATTCATTTTTTAAAGAACACTAAGCAATATATCAGAAACCTAAACTGTTCAATAACTGACTACAGTAAGATAAGTTCCAGTTGTCCCTATCTCTGAAAATAAGTCCTATAATAGAAACAAAGTAAGACTGACTTAATGCAGAAAACAACAAAATGAAAATGATTTTTTTCATATCTAAATCATGAAAATAATTAAATAAATAGGAATGTTATTGTTCAAATTATAGTTTATAGTGAAAATATTCCAAATAGAATCAAGGTCCTTTGCAACATAAAGTGATAACTGCAAACTTTTATTCAAGGATGTAGAAAAAGAATGTTCACAAGTAACTTGATTCAGAATAGCCCCAACTAGAAAGTACCCAAATATCTCTAAGTGGTGAATGGTTAAACAAATGATAAATGGTTAAACAATATTCAGCAATAATAAAAAACACACTATCACTACATACAACAACTTGAATGACAACATTATGTTAAGTGAAAAAGCCAGTGTCCGCAGGATATATACAGCATGATTCCATTTATGAAACATTCATGATATAACATAAGATACAAGATATAACACAGGTTGTCAGGAGCCAGGAACAGGGAATGGGAAGGATGTGGGAATACGGATGAGAATACACTGGAGTAACACAACGGAATTTTGTAAGGTTACAGTGGATTTTTTTTTTTATTATTTTTTTAATGACAGAGTCTCACTATGTTGCCCAGGCTGACCTCACACTCCTGTAGCTGGGACTAGAGGTGCATGCTACTGTGTCTAGATCAGCTGAGTATCTTGAGTTCGGGTAAGTCAATACAGTGCTACTCTTGTGATTGAACTACATAGAGACACACACACACACACACACACAGAATAAATGTTTAATTAGAGAAATCTGAAGAAGTCCTATGGATTCTACAAATGTTAATTTCTTGGTTTTACCATAGATTGTAAGATGTAAACATTGTGAAAGCTAGAGGGTGGGTATACAGAGATTTCTTGTACATTTCTTTGTAATGCCTGTACATCCCCATCATTCAAACATACTTTAAAAAAAAAAAAAACTTTACATTTGGGGGGAGCATAAAGGAAAGGGGAAGTAGTACTGAGGCTGTGATAATCCAGCACTACTTGGCAAAAACTCTGGAGGGTTCTGCCTTCAATTTCATAGAATTACCATAGATCAGAAAAATGGGAAAAGATGAACTTATTCTAACTTTTTTCTATGAAAAGCCAACCCACCCAAAGCAACAATCAACAATTCCTATCTATAACTGAGGAAATCCTACACATCTTTTAAAACAAATGCAGATGGCGCTTTCCCCAAGGTGTACACACACATGCACACTCATATACAAACACACACAATTTACATGTACCAGGCCTGGAGCCCTAAAATAATCACAGCATAACTCTAAATAATGTAATAAGGCATTTTAATAATCTAAATATCTGCAAAGAATATTTTAATAATTAAAGACCAGGGAGAATAAATTTGAAACACTTTTAAAGATAACAAAAGAGCTATATATAAACCTAGGAACGAAAGGTTAAAAAATCAGATTAGAGGCAATTAAGAAAAATATTACAAAGATAAGTCTTAAGGGTATGACTCAGAAGGGAAACCACTGACTGAAAAGGTAAAATATTGAAGGAAAGTTAAGAATCAAGAAAGATTCAATGAAGAAAATCAACATATGTCTAATAACTATGTGTTGCTTAGAGTAACATTTAAAACAACCCATAAAGGTTAAAAGGATGGAAAAAGATTTATCAAATACACACCAACAAGAGAGCAGCCAGTAAAATAGCCTTTTGTAATAGCAAAGCCTCAAAATATTTAAATCAAAAACCGATCAAACTACAATAAAATGACAAATCCACAAATTTCTAAATGATAGAAGACTTAGTTCACTTTTCTGTAAAGACATAACAATCAGACTTCAAAAAATTAGATGTATATTTGAAAGTATTAACAAATCTGATCTTAGAAATATGCTTTACATCCTACCATTACAAGTGTAAGTACATGCAGAATACTTATTAATACTGAACTCCTGAGCCACAAAATAAGATTTAACAAATACTCATACCAAAGAACTGACATCAGTGTTTACCTGACAACAATTAACATGGAAGGAAGGGACTTATTAAAAGCCTGACTGGAAATGTAAAATCCAACTTCTACTTAATTTATGAGTCAAAGAAGAAATCATTAAAATTCACAAAGTGTTTAGGATGGGTACTAATAGAAATACTATATTTTTCATAAAAGAGTAAAACATAACAAAAGTTAATGAAATATAACAAAAGAAATATAAAGGAATATAAACAAGGCCAAATATTAGTTTTCTGAAAAGACTCTACACAGACAAATCTCTGGCAGGACCAAACAAGGGAAAAATAAAGGAATATGACCATAGATACAACAGAGATCTTATAAAATATATTTAGGAACATCTTTGTATCAAAAATCTGAAAATAGCCAGGCACAGTGGCGCTCACCTATAATTCCAGAGGCTAGGGAGGCTAAGGCAGGAGAATCACATAATCAAAGCCAGCCCCAACAACTCAGTGAGGGATCCTAAGCAACTTAGTGAGACCCTGTCTCAAAATAAAATATAAAGAGGACTGAGAATGTGGCTCAGTGGTTGAATGCCCCATACTAGAATTGCTTCAAGAACAAAAAGAAAATCTATACAAATCTATAACTATTAGAGAAACTCATTTGGTGGAGAAAGCGCTAACCATCTAACAAATGTTACTTAACTTTTGAAGGACACATAATTAAATTGTTCCAAAAAAAGAAGCAACATATTATATAGAGCTAATATAACTTTTTGAGCCCCACCCAAAGAAGGACAATATAAGGAAAAATCTGCAGTGGTTTGCTAGAACTGGTTCATAATGGCTAACCAGGGACAGCTGTGGATATCTCTTCCCAACTCCACATGACCTCATGTTAGTAGCTTGAAATCTTCCATGGTAGAAATTATTTATACCATGAAAACTGGCAAAAGGCAAATCAAGACTTTTCTTCTGAAGAGTCAGTTGTTAAACATTTATCACTATACCATTGATAGTATGCCAACCTCAATTAAAAACATAAATATTTAATTCAAAATTAAATTTTTAACAAACTCATTCTAGAACCTTAAAAAAATGACAAAATTGAATGTATCTCAGGAATGCAAGGACAGTTGCAAATTTTAAAAATATTAACATGTGAAATAACAAAATATATCAACAAACTATATGATATTCTCAAGACAAAAAATTAACAGTGATAGAAATTGTTAATTAAATTGGGTAATCAGAAGAATCCTTAGCACAATAAAAACATCTGTTAAAAAAACAAAAAACCTGCAAACACCACACTTGATGCTAGGAACAATCCTTAAAAATCTGAAACAAAGCAAAAGAAGCCCATTCTGTTTATATTCAATACTACATTGCTGGAGATGTTCAGTAGATAATTGAGAGAAAACAAATTATAATAAAAAATGAAGAGCCAAATCTGTCTGTTCCCAGGTATATTTGTTAAAAGAATTTAATTAGATGTATTAGGAAAATACAGCAACAACACTTAAACTCAAGACTAATATATAAATATCAATTACTATTCCCAAGTACCAGAAATAAACATTAGAAAATGTTTTAAAAGACTCCATTTAGGGAGACACACAATTATTCACTAGCGCACTTTCTGAAAAAGATTAGAGAAATTAAACATCCATCAATGTAATACTTGTGAACTTTATTATATATCCTACAATAGAGACTATGTACCAAAATAAAGAAGTAATTGTTTACTGTGGTGAAAGATATGATTTCATAATATTTTTATTAAGTGAAAATAGCAGGATCCAGAATAATACAGGTTTTACTTTTCAACAAAAATTTTAAAATTTACTTTTGTTAACCCAGAGGGGAAAATGAATGGATATACATATTTGCTTATGTCAAATGTTTTGGAAAGGAAAAACACAAAGTTGGTAAGAGTGGTGAGAGGCTTTTAAAAAAGAAAAGCTTTTCATTATGTATCTTTCTATACATTTGAAATTTTGAACCAGGTGAATGCATTATTTAAAAAATATTTTAACTTTAAAAATTTTTTAAAGCAGCATTTATAATGGCAACAAAAATAGTAACCGGCAATAAAATATATGTAAAACCTTAACAGAAAAAGGTATAAATCAACAACCTTAATACATTTAAATAAAAATTAATAGTTTTTCATAAAATTAGAAACTGTTTTCTAAAACTTATAAGAAAAAACAAAGTGTCAAGAAAAGATCAATTATGAAGAATTTTTGGGCCCTTCAACACTTAAATGTGAAGCAATAATACTAACCAGGGTTAGACCAACAAACCAATGAAAAGAATACAAGCGATGAGAGTTCTGTGGCAGTGGTCTGTGGAGAAGATAAAGAGGTGGATGAAGAAAGGTCAAATTTAATTAAATCTCAGTAGTTTGGAGACCCTGATAAATAATATTTAGGTCATGTGGGTGATGGTAAATGATTTTTTAGGCAAGAAAATGGCTCAAGATCCTGATATGAGATGTTCTAAAGCAAGTGCAAATACTAGAGAATATATAAATCAGTCATTTCTGATGTCATCAGTTTTAAAAACTCACCATTTTGACTCTTTTCTAATGATCATTTTATCATCTATACACTAATTTATTGGGAAATACTTCCTTATAATTCTACTATTTTGCTTGATAGTAATTTTCTTAGTGTTCCATACTAATCAAGATGGAAGGCATGACTGGATAAAACGCAATCACGTGGTCTATAATCTAAACAGGGGCCCCACTTATGTTTCACTACTTTTAACGATTCCTAGATGGATTTATAGGGAAGATCGAAAAAATTATCTTGACAAAAGATAACAATAAACATAAAAAATAATATATTTAGAAGAGAAATCGTAGGAGATTTAATGCTTTCTATATAAATATACAAGATAAAGTTCACAGATAAGTCAAAAACCTTACCCTTTTCAGGTAACTCTGGACCTCTCCCCCTACTTCTGCCCATCCGGTCATTCCTAATTTCACTTCGAGACTCATTTCTGGAATCATTCCTTATTTCAGTACGAGAACTTTCTTCTCTTAAGTGATTTCTGCCATAACTCCGGGATTCTTCCTGATATGTATCCTCTTTTCGATGAGTATCTCGACCTTCACGGTCCCTGTAGTCATGGGCATCACGAGTGGACCGAGAATCTCTGGGATCACGGCTCTCTTTACTATCTCTGCTATAATCCCTCATCTCCCTTGAGTCCCGGATGTCTCTGGAGTCTCTGAGTTCCCTGCGGTCTCTAGTGTCTCTGGTATCACGACGGTCTCGACCATCTCGAGGTTCTCTTTCATCTCTGTGGTCTCTAGAAGAGCTCTGATCCTGTTCATATTCTCGTTCTTCTCTTGTGTCCTTTTCTCTATCCCTTTTGCCTCTAGTCTCTGTTAACACAATTTTAGAAATCAACTGTAATTTTTTTCCCAAAGTTTCAAAAAACTAGACAATATATTTAATTAGAGCTTTATTACAAGAGTAATATGTGCTTTGCAGAAAGAAAAGGAGAAAACAGGTGAATGTTTTAAATAGTTTAAAATTAAAACTATTTATATGCTAAAATCCAAAAGATAATTTAATTAAAGATTTGATAGCTACATTCTTAACTGGATAAATGGTGAACATGAAGGTCCCCACCCCGATTTAACAATACTTATAGATCCTAAGCAACTGAAACAAATAAGTAAATATCCTTTCCTCTCATTGCTGTTTTTTTTTTTTTTTTAAGAAACAATTTTAGATCCAGAGGTGCACAGTGACTTTAATTATTTCTACTGGATATTAGGCTAGATTTAAAATACATTATGACCACCTCAAATTTATTTAAGCACTTGAGAGTGGCTCAGTTAGCTATTGGCAAAGAGTATTGTTCTTCACTCTTTTCCTGAGCTGCTCAATGGTATGATACTTGTGGGTGTGACCATTTCTAAAATTCCCTCTATTTAAGTGTTTTCTGATATATCATAGAAAAAAAACACCTCATTTTAAAAAAATGGACTACAAGGACTGGACATATAGCTCAGCAGGTAGAGTGCTTGTCTCACATGCACAAAGCCCTGGGTTCAATCCCCAGCACCACAAAAAAAAAAAAAAAAAAAAAAAAGGACCTCAATGTTTATTTAAACCAACTTTGTTATTTTATATATGAATTAATACAGGCCCAAAGCTTAGATATCTCATACCTCATGAAAATTCGCAAAGATTATAAGCCACTGTTTAGACATGCCTAGAAAAGGTATAAGATGATTACAAATATAAATCTGATAGGCAGTTAAAATATTAACAAGAACCATAAAGAATAAATTCTGCCCTTTTTAATCAGACTCTTTTGCAAGTTGTTCCTATATTCTGAAATTGTCAACAGTTTGAGGCTACTCTAGCAACTATAGCAGACTTATGCCTAAAACATTATAAATTTATTCCTTTTATTGTCCTTGCTGGCTGGGTCCATAATCTCTTTTCAAGGAACTCTCAAATAATCCTCAAAGCCTTACTCAATACCCAATCTCCTTTGCCAATGCCTTTGTCCATATACCTATATTTACAAATGCTAAAGACAGAAGCAATGGGTAAGGATCTGATATATTTCCATCCTTTTCTTCACAAAACTATGATTTCCACTCCTCTTCCAATACCAACTGTCCCTTAAAATGTGTCCACTTATACCAGACTTCTGTTTCATGATACTGCCATCAGTCTTTACAAATATATGTAATTATTAATTTCATTCTTTATCTCCCCATCCTTCTACTGAAATCATCCTTATTTCAGAAAATGGCATCTAAATAAAGAGGAAGAATCATTTGCTAAATCTCTTCTTTCCATAAAAGATTAAAGAAATATCCTCTTTACAAAGGATTCTCTCATAAGCAATTCTTTCTACCAAAAAAGCATTCCCATGAGACTCGACTGATATTATTTTCCCTTCATTAGTATGTTTAATAATAATGACAAGTTTTCATTTAATAAGTAGTCATAAATATATACTATATTCTTGGTCAAATCTAGTTGTTAAATTTTATTAAAATTAATAGGTATAAGTAAATTTTCCCATCTTACCAATTTTCTATAAACATTGTATGGAAGCTTCCATCATGAGTTCTATAAATATAGCATACACAAAGTTCCATATACACTGTTATACTGTTCTGGTTCTATAATCATGTATATAATAATTAATTCTACAAAATAGGTACTTTCTCTGTCTCTACCTACATATCCACTATTCTTTCTAGGTAAAAGATTTTGAGTGAATACTGCTTGTACTGTTGATACGAAGAACATAACTATTAACATCATTTACAGGAGACTTCTATAATGTACTCGAACAGAGAGATATAAAATGCATGTTAAACAGAAATGTTGTTGCAAGTATTTCCTAAAACCTTACTATGTTCAAAAACTAACTCAGAAGTAGTTAAATAAGGAAAGGAAGCTTAAACAAGAAGTATACAAAGGGATGACAGCTTGAGAATGTTGTTGCATATCTAACATTAATATAATTCTCAGGAATTTAGAAAGTAAAACTGCTTTGCTTACTTCCTTCTTTGAAGTGCTGGGATTGGATTCAGAGCCTCACACATTCTAGAAAAGAGTTCTACCAATGAGCTATTCCCTCAGCTCATGCTTACTTTTTTATTTTGATTTACATCTAGAAAGTCAATGCAATGACTTGGTTGCACTGACATTCTAAAAGTTTTCCCCAGCCCTGGTCCCTTTATCAAAACGCTTTCAATGCTTTTAAACTCTGCTCCCTGATTTGCTATTCTTCTTCCCTTTACTTCTTGATTTTTAAAAACATATAGTTAACTGAAATGGACATACCAAAAATTAGATGGGCAAAAATACACACACGTCACCAACTTAGCATACCTATAAATGCCACTTGTGCATACTTAATACTTAACATCCCTGTCTTTGAGCATTTCCCATTGCCCTTAAGAACACTAGCCTTCATATTACAAAACTAAACATCTTCCTCCATCCCTTATTACAACAATAAATATGGATGTCCAATGTTTCAGTAAGAAAATGTTTTTAATTAAAAGAACTCTTGGAAAAAAAAGAAAAAGCAAGCTGAAGTATAGTGTATACCTTCCCTCCTTTCATGACGCCGATCGTGTGACTGTGAAGTTCGTTCATGATCATGCCTCCCTTTCTCTCTCATTGGAGAGCGATGTCTTGAAGGACTTGGCTTTCGCTGAGGAGAAGACAAGCAATGTGAAGGATAAGGAGAAGCAGAACGTCGTAAAGATGGAGTTAAAGTCCGCTGGTAAGATGGTGAAGGCGTTCTTTTTCGACGAGGAGAAGGAGAATGTCTTTGAATAGATGATCCCGATTGTGAGGATGATGAGTGATGTCTAGAAGATATAGGAGAGTGATGCTGTCCTGATGGGGAAGTAGATCTATATGGAAAAATAGCAATAATTTAAAAAAAAAAGTGTTCAAAAGCCTTCTATTCCAGCCAAAGGAATATCTTTAAACAAAACTGACTATAAAAGTTAAAGCTAAAAGTGTTGGTAATAATTATAAGACAAATTTTAATTTACAATACTCTGAAATTATAAATAAGTTGCTTTTATTTAAAAGATGTGACTGACTTATAAGTGGAAGTAACAGCTTTAGAAGAAATATGCTGTGCCTTTCTCCCAAGTGTGCCAAGGCACACTGACTTTTCCAGGCAATATTCTCCCTGAGCGAAGACTGCCTACTCTAACTTAAAGTATAGAATTCATTTTGATAATCTGATAGTATAAACAAGTACCTGGAGGGGGAAAACTCAAAAACAACTACAGAGAAAATATACTAGTAAGATGAAGGTAGGAAGTAGCTGTGAAAATGCTTGTAAATTCAAGACCCTGGGGAAAGGAAGACTATCCCCAGCCACAAAAAGCAAATCTGTGCTGCCTGGGATGACATTTAGGATTGTGAAAGAATCCTATGGTTAATGAGAGGACAACAAAGTGTATACTGCCTTTATCTTAAATAAACTGCCTTCATTTGTGGGCAGCACAAACTGAGATTTAGTACATAAATTTTATTTAACTAGGACCTCCTCAGCTCTAAATTGTCTTCTTTCACTGCTACCAGAAGAACAACTTATAACCCCGTGAAACACATCTGAATTACACCTGGAGTCTGTTATGCCATAACCTGAGTGTGATAGCAAGATGAAGTACACATATTTGTGCAATAACTAAAAAAGAATGCTACCGTTTACAAACAACATTCTAGACATCACATACCTAGATAAATATCATATTTCTCAAAGCAATTAGCTAAATGCAAATTCAAAAAATTTCTGACATTCTATTCAAAGTATTCTGGAATTACCTTCAGTGCCTATGATAAATACGTTTTAATATCTGTAATGGTGGAAAAATCATTATTAACCTTAAACCAGGGTTTAACAACCTCTGTACTATTGACATTTTATACCAGATAATTCTTAGGTGTTGGGAGTCTGTCCTGTATACTGTAAGATGCTTAGCAGTATCCCTGACAACTCAACAGCATCCCTCCCACTGAGTGGTGACAATAATGGTACATTGTTAACTGTCCCCTGGAAGACAAATGATCTTGAGTTAAGAAACACTGCCCTATACTAAGCTGTTTATAAATAATGCCTCTTTAATTTATATAAATTCTCGTGTGTGTGCGCGCACACACGCCTGGAAAGTAATCCAATATATTCAAAAGGATTTACAGAAAAAGAATTTAAGCAAATTAAAAAAAATGCCTTTATAATAAGAATTGACTGAAAACTAAAAATCTGCTATCTAGAACACTACATTTGTCTTAACAACTAGTTATGGTTCATTCAATTGAAGCTTTAAGCTTTTATTTAAAAACTTATTTCTTTCAATATAATAAACCATAAACCACTAAAATTTAACTGACTATAAATAGAAATTTATTTACTTACAGATACAAGTAGAAATGTTCAATGATTTTTACCCAAAGCTAGAAAACCATTTATGATCAATAGCCAAACAAATGCATCCTACTGAACAGGAAAATCTTTACTGTCTGTTTCACTTTTGTTAGGTAGTAGTCAATTTGGAAATATGTAAATTAATAAAGATTGGCTTATCAATAAATGAACATTTTAAATTTCTGGAATATACTTAAAAATTTATTTCTGGAATATACTTAAAATTATTTCATGAATATCTATAATAGCCTTTGGTGATTAATTTACAGGATGCAAAAACCAAAAGTTTATTCATAGTATCTTTTTAAAAAATTACAGTCCAATCATATTTCTATCCAAACCTGTTGTCTATAACGTGAAAGAAAAAACTTTAGTTCACACTTGAGATGATCACACAAATATTTAAGGCCAATATACTAACATATTGCTAAGTAATGGCTTCATCATTTTAACCATGTTTTCTTCTTACTCTTTTAGTTTCAGAAAATTGTTGATTCAATTTAAATACCTTTGCATTTTTCTCTTTGATACTACTCTTCTAAATGTCTAATGACTGAGAATAAGGAAAAGAGAAGACCTGATGACCAAGACAAGATGGATCAAATTAAGGATGTGAGTCTAACTGGACATACATCTATACCCATTCTGCATATATAAAAGATGTCACTAAGCAATAAAACTATCATGAAATATAATCAAAATTATAAGTACTCTGGTTATAAATTACAAAAGAAATATATTAAAATATTTCCACTTAGAAGAAACCAGCCTATTCTAGAGAATTCTAGTTCACCTGAAGTTATTGCTCTTCTAACAGAAGGATGAAGAGCTATGTATTTATTGACCACTTACCTTATTTTCTTAAATTATTACCTCATTTAATCCTGACCTCAACCCAATAAAATAAAACTATGCATGTTTTACAGCTGAAGTAAAAAGAGAAGCTCAGGCAGAACAAGTGTCTTGTCTAGGGTCTTACATCAAGTAATTGGCAAAACCAGGAAAATTTTTCAATTTTTGTAACTTCAAGGTTTGTGCATTTTTCATTACACTGTTAACTCAAAAATGTGAGTGGGATCCCTCTAAAGAGTTACATTTTTCCTGAGGAAATATTAATTTCATGAAAAAATAAATTTGGAAACTAATAAAAAGTGAACAAGGGAATGGGTGTTCCTTATCAAATATTTAAGTATTTCATAAATCTTATGATTCAGGAAAATATTCATCCCTGATTAATACTGATACAGAAGCCCTCAAAAAAATACTAGCAAACTGATTTCAACAGCATATAAGAAGGATCACACATAATGACCACATGGAATTTATTTCTGGAATGCAAGGATGGTTCAACATTGTGAAATATTAACAAAATAAAATGACTACTTGGCATCTGCACTGACATACACAAAAACATCTGATGAAATTCAACACCTTTTAATGATTAAAAATATCAACAAATTAGAAATATAATGAAACTACCTCAACTTAATAAAAGGCCATTTATGAAAAACCCATAGCTAATATCCCTCTCAATGAACAAAAGACTGAAAGGTTTTCTTCTAAGATCAGGAACAAGGCAAGGATACCTCTTCCTGACACTTCTATTCAACATCATGTTGGAACATTTATATTGATTTTCAAAAGAAGTAAAAGGCATCCAAATTGGAAAGTTAAATGGTCTGTTTGTAGATGTCGAGATCTTACATGTAGTAAACTCTAGATTCTAAAAAAAATAAGCAAAATAAAACTTCACTAGAACTAATAAACAACTTTGGCAAAGTTACAGAATAATCAACACACACTAAAAAACAGTTGTGTTTCTACCCACTGCAATGAACAAAACTGAAAAGGAAATTAAGAAAACAATTCCCCGCATGGCAGCATTAAAAATACTACATAGGGATAAACCTAACTAAAGAGATGAAAGACTGTACAATGACAATTATAAAGCACTGCTAAAAGAAACTTAGACAGAAATAAGAGGAAAGATATCCTGTGTTAATGGCTTAGAAGATTTAATATTAAAATATCCACACTACCCAAAGCAATCTATAGTCAACACAATTCCTATCAAAATCCAATGGCCTTCTTTGCAGAAACAGAAAAATTCATCCTGAAATTTACATGGAACTTTAAGTCTCCCCTCCCCCAAATAGCCAAAATAATTTAAAAAAGGAATGAAGTTGGGGGATTTGCACTTATTGATTTCAAAATGTATTAAAGAGCTACAATAATTTTATCAAGTATGGTACTGTCATAAAGACAGCCTTGTAGTTCTATGGTGTAGAATACTCAGAAATAAACCAAATATGATCATTTTTTAAAGGATGTGAAGACCAATCAAAGGGGAAAGAACAGCCACTTCAACAAATAATTATGCCCAAACTAAAAATCCACATACAAAAGAATGAAGTTGGACCATTATCTAACACCACATTACAAAAATTCACCCTAAATGAACTAAATACCTAAATGTGAGAAGTAAATATAATATCCCTAGAGAAAAACAAAGTAGAAAAGCTTCATATATTGAACCTGTCAATGATTTCTTAACTATTACACCATAGAAACCAAGAGCAAAAATAAATGAGATTATATCAAACTTAAAAAATTTTGTGTATTAAAGGACATCGTCATCTACAGAGTGAAAAGGAAACTTATAAGAATGGAAGAAAATATTTTCAAATTTCATCTCTGAGAAGATGTTCAAAATCATTAAATCACCAGAGAAATGGAAATCAATATCATGATTTATTACCTCACACTCTTTAGAATGGTTACTATAAAAATACAAAAAGTAATAAGTGTTGGTTAGGATGTGGAGAGACCAGAACATCTGTTCTCTATGGAAGTATAAAATGGTCTAACTGCTATGGAAAACAATAAGAAAGTCTCTCAAAAACTTAAAATATAATTATCATATGGCCTAGCAATCCTACTTCTGGGTTTATATCCAAAGGAACTGAAAATAGGATCTTGAGGAAATATCTGCAGGCCCATGTAAAAGCAGTACTATTCACAACAGCCAAATGTTCATCAATGGATGAATGAACAAACAAAAATTTATTCCATAAGAAATATATTCAATCTTAAAAAGGAAGGAAATTCTATCACATGTTATAATTTGGATGAACCCTAAGGATATTAGTGAAATAAACAGTCACTAAAAGATAAATACTATATGATTCTACTTATACAAAGTATTAAAGCAATCAAAATTCACAGAAACACAAGAGAGAATGGTGGTTATCAGGGATTGTGAGAAGAAAGAGAAGGGGAATTATTGCTTGATGAGTTTAAAGTTTCAGATTTACAAGATGTAAAAGTTTTTGGAAATTTATTTCCTGACAATGTTTACATACTGAATTCTATTGAACTATACATTTAAAACGGCTAAAATGGTAAATTTTTATGTTTTTACCATATTAAAATATTTAAACATTCTAAAATTTAATGTAAATTGAAATATCCATGACTGTGTGAACTACTATACATACACACACTGATAACTAAACTAAAGGCTCATTACAATAATGCCTGAAAGCTCCTAAAAAGGAAATACTTTAGATTCTATAAAAGCATATTGTTAAAAACATACAATCCTACTTACCTTGGTTTCTCTCTTTTTTCTCTTTGCCTTTCAAAATCCCGCCCTCTGTCCTTTCCATCTCTAGGTTTTTCTTCTATCCTGTCTTTCACTTTATATTTTTCTTTGTATTTTTTACCCAGAGCAATATCTTCTGGTATAGGAGGGGGGGGACTAGGAGTACGTGGCCCTTTCTTTTTACTTTGGTTGTTCTTTGAGTTCCTAAAGGTAACACAAAGTTATCATTAGAGGTTCAAATATTTCTGTAAGGCCAAATTGATATTTGTAAAAGTGCTTTTTAAAAATGGCAACATTCCTTCCAATTACTTGCTCTTTACTATGTTGTGTACCAGTAATCAATAGCCAGGAAAAAAATAACTCACAGAAAGGAGCAAAGAACTGGCTTGTTACTTATTTTGTGAATGCTGCTTATTAGTAAGTAATTTTAAATAACAGGTTCTGAGAAAAGATGGAGATACAGCAGGGAGAGACTTTTATAGGTGATTATAAAAGGACAGGAAATAATATTGTAAAATAAAACAAAAGCTTAAATTGCATTTTTTTTTAGTTTATATAGAAAAGTAGTTAAAGAAAATAAAAATCACCTATAATTCTACGATCCCAAAATAATTACACCTTTGATATGCTTCCACACTCTTCCCTTGGTTCTTTATACCTTCATTTAAAACTAGATATTCACATGCAAAAAGATGAAGTCAGACTTTATCTTGTATCATGTACAAAAATTGACACAAAATTGATTAAAAATCTGAATGTAAAATCTAAAACTATAAAATTAGAAGAAAATAGGAAAAGCATCCTAACAATGGACTTGGAAATAATTTCTTGGTTATGACAACTAAGGTATACGTAACAAAGGCAGAAATAGACAAATGGGACTATAATCAAAGGTAGAAGTTTTCATGTGTTAAAGGATACCGTCAACAGAGTGAAAAAGGAAACCAACAGAATAGGAGAAAATATTTCCAAATCACATTTAGAGGATGGTCACAACTATTTTACCACTAAAAATGCTTGTTATTCTGTTTCTTTCTTACATACACATATATACTCATGAAAATCCCATTATAATACTTTGTAAGATCTTTTTATATTGAACATAGAATGGGCATTTTCTATAACAAAAGGTAGATTTAAGTAATCATTGCTATTAATTGTAGAGAATTTCTTTGAATAGATAAATGCTCTATAACATTTAATCAATTTCATATTTGTTTTTCAGGTGGTTTCCAAGTTTTGATCATTATAAAGGAAACACAATATCATCCACAAATAAAATTCAGATTTACAAGATGTAAAAGTTTTTGGAAATTTACAAGCATTTGTTAGCAAACATTTATTTAAATCTTTGAATCTTCTTCCAAGAAATCTTTCCTAACTTTTAGATCAAAAAGATGGTCTCCTAAAATTATGGGAATTTTGCCTTTCATATCTAAGTCTTTAATCAACTTGTAACTTATTTTGTGGAACAGACTATCTTTCATTTGGCACTTCAAGTAATTTTATGTAAGTGGTATAACTTTGTTCCCTATACATCCCAAAATGGCTTTCTTTGCCACATTCCTGAACAATAGTTTAATTGAATACAATAGGATCTTCATGTCAAAATTCCTTCTAAAAGCTCTATAACATTTAGTGTTGTAGATGAGCAATCCAAAGAGAGTCATTTTCTTTCCATACAGCTGACCTGGCTTTTCTGTTGGGGTACTTTTAAAACTCTTCCTTGGAAAAAAACTTTTAACCAAGCCAGGATATTTTAAAAAAGAAAAAATACATATTTTTTTCCAGTATTCATTATACTGTTCCAATATGAAACTTCATGTTGTTTACTCAATTTCATCTATTTTTACTGCCACTTCTCTGTGTGACCCATCTTTTATTTAGTTACTACATTGCCTAGATCTTTCATATTAAATTCCTGTCATTCCTATCCTCCTATTTTCTAATATCTTAAGCTTATCTTCAAATTCAGTAACTTTTAAATAGTAACCATTTCACTAATTCTAAATTTGACAATCTCAGTATTCTATTTTTAGTTTGATAATCTTATTTTTCCCAAAATGATATTTTTTTAAGATCAAGTGCTCTCATCAGGCCAATACAATATACTCTCAAACTGAATGAAATTTATGAATTATTACTTATATTTGTTCCTGTTTTAAGTATTAACATTTCTGTGTAAGCCATCTGCTCTGAGTGTTTAATCCTGTACTGAGTTTTTAAATAGCCCTTCTTTCATACATCTGGTGAGTTTTCAATATTTATTCATTTTACTATCTATTGATATTTACACATAAAGATCTATATCTAAATCATAGAACTTTAACAGTACAACCCTCAAAATTCCTAATAAGATTGAAAAAATATAAAAGCATCTAACTTATACTTAACATTCTGAAAATTTAGCTCTCTTGGTTCTTATCCTTATTTCCTTTCACAGATAGGGTCAATCCACTTAAGCAAGTAAGAGATTACTAAAATATGATTACCAAATCTATTTTTCACCCTTACCCTCTGCCAACAACCACATTAACCACAAATCTCATTACATATTTATGAGATGGCTCAAACTACTTATGCATCTAATAATTAAGTTAGATACCTAAGATTTCTAAGTATTTTTCCATTTTAAAGACAAAAACTAGTCACTTTTAGGATCTGTATTAAAAACAAAATGAGAGAGGAATTTTACTATTTTCATGTTACTGCCTATAATAGAAGATTTACCAAACTTTTCCCCTAGGCACACAGGGCTGAACCATACTATCTAGACTTTTTTTAAATTAGGTGTGGTCAAGCAAATAAAATATGACCAAAGCAATGTGAACAGAAGTGATGTATAGCAATTTCAAGGACTTCATATGCCAGGCAACTGTAAATTACAAAGCTAAATAAAGAAAACATTTTTTTTTAAATCTTGTACATTCCATTCTTTGGTTTCCTTGAAAGTCCAAGCAAATAGAGCCATAGATTTGAAGGTGCCTAGGTTAATAAATTTCCAAGCACAGAACACCACTTATTAATTAGAAATCACCATTTCGACTTCACTTAAGTAAGAAATACTTCTGTTGTGTTAAACCACTGACATTGAGATTTAGCTATTACCATAACCAGGATTATCCTTGGAAAATTTATTTATTATTTGAGTAGACAAATGCTCTATAACATAATCCTGAAGTGTAGTATTTCTTCACATTATGTTTAAAAGCATATGGTTGGAAAACACAATTATGTTACACTGCACCGTTTTCCAACTGAAAGGGCCAATATTGGTTTTGCATATTCTGAAATCAACAAGAATCTTTTAATATTTTTTAAGTCAATGAATGATTATTCTAGGTAGCACCAAGTCCATTACTATTTGTGGTATACAGTATACTTACATACTTCTATGATTTTTAGATTCTCTACCCGCCCCCCCCMAAAAAAAACCATTCCTTTTGAACAGCTTTGGACATCCTTTATATTTCTCTGTACAAAGAACTACAAGTAAAAAATTTACATAGTAAAAACTAAGGCTAAAAATGCAGATGGACAGATTAGATAATACATTTATGATTTTTAAATCACTCTCACATCTTAGGATAAATCTTAACTATCATACTAGATTTTACAATGGATGTCAAAGAAAAATACCAGCTTTCAGGGAGAAATGTGAGTTTTAATTTGTCAGTAATTATATCTGTACATTCAATAGGATAACCTAGTAAGACCAAGGAAGAGTTTATTTATCTGATTTGTCACCTCGGCTGACTTACTGGCACTGGGTGAAATGCTTCACTGAATTATAACTGAAATTCGAATCCTTACTTGTGCTTAATATGTTTTCAAACAGTTTATAGTATGATCTAGCAATGAAATTAAAAGTTGACTGATGTTCTCCAGGCAATGTGAACTGCCTAAAGAAATGCTATAATTAATTTAATGTTTTGTTTGTTTGCTTGTTTTCCCAGAGATACTAATTTATTTAGGAAAACAGATACACTTAAGGAAGAATGCCAGTGATCTCAGAGTGAAAAGGTACCTTTTGGAGTAAAGCTATGAATAGAAATTCAAGGGAGCATGTGGACCAACTTCAGAGACAGAAAGAGAGAAAATTTTGTATTTTTAATATATTATTTTCCAGACGATTCTGGGTTATTATTAATGATGCATATTAAAGTAAACAACACATTAGAATATAAAAAATATAGTAGTTAAATCAATGTGACAATATTTATTAAAGGACAATACACTAATACAGCAGTATGAGAGATAATATAAAAAAGAAGATGAAACTAACCCTCATCTAAACAATTATTACAACTTTCTATGAAAAGACTTTCAAAGATTTCATAAACAGAAAGGATAATAAAATGAATAAGGCATATTTCTGATATGTAATTTATTGGAGATATGAATAGAATTGATGAAATAATATAATCAGTTAGCCAATAAGATAGAGAGCAAGTAGGGTAGATCACATCATTCTCTGATTCAACTTCTTCCATATTCCTTTGCAATATTTATTTAATCCCAGGAACAAAGAAGAGGATCAAGTCAACTTTACTGAGTGCCTTATTACAAGGCAAAGCTCTATGCAAAGTAGGCACTGTGGGAAGGTAGAACAATGTTTCAAGAAGCTTAAATTTAATAGAGGTTGTAAAACATATATGTCATAGCTGAAATACAACGCAAAGGCAATTAATATTAAGAGGAGGATATAAACAAAATCTGATAGGTATACAAAAGGGATAAAAATGATGTTTGGTAAGGAGAAATAGGAAAACTTAATAGAAATTTTAGAATTTAAGCTAGGGATTGAAGGACTGAGTTTAAACATAGTAAGTAGGAGGAAGATTGAACAAAAATATTGGTAAGAAAAAAAGATCAAAATATGAATGTCATCTAAGGAATCTGAATTTTATTGAGTTTTTAAATGGCATAATAAATGAACAGAAATTTTCTTTTATGATTTCTCTGTTAGCATGTATAATTAATGGGTTAGAGTATCTGAATTAAAATGTGTATGAATGTGTAGAGCTGGATACTATATAATGTAAATACATTTAGTAGAATGATATAATAATCTAGGGCAAAAAGTAACTGACATCTGAATAATGGTGTCTACGAAAAAAGGAGAAAAATATGATTTTCATTATGGGTTCAGAGAGACAGCATTTTCCAACTGATCAAATGTTGGGGAAAAGAGGTTTTCAGTTATTTTTTAAAACATAAAATTAACATGTGTGCTTTAATTAAAATAAAATTTAAATAGTACAGAGGGATATTAAGTGAAAAAATGCCAGCTGCACCATGAATTCCTCAATGTAATTAAATTTAATTATTTCTATTTTTATTTCTTTAGCTGGCTACTACAATAATTCTGAATAATATATTCTGTTGCTAGGTATGTAATATAAAAACTCTAAGTTGTTGGTCATGAACACAAAGAGATAAAAATATTCATTGTGTATACTTTACAATAGCTAAAACTGAAAATAACAAATGTTCAATAACACAAAACTAATAACTATGTTGTATAAACATGAATGAACTAAGGCTACATGTATCAATATAGATAGATGAAAAACAAATCTTCAGTAAAAAAGTAAATTGTACAAGGAAAGTTATTTATCTACATTACGATTAAATAGATAAAAGCTATATTATATTTTGCAAAATAATATATAATGAAAATATAACCATTTACAAAATTATCATAAATACCAAATTCAAGTGGGAAGAATAAGGAATGTATGTTTTATTTCTTAAAAAATAAAAAGCTCTGAAGCATAAACAAATGTGACACAGATATTTGTTATAATTTTCTTTTAATTTTTGTTTAAGAAAAGCTTACACTAAATACTAAACATATTAAAAGTACCCTTCTATATATACTAAGTGATTCTTTTTAATATCTGTTCAGAAAAAGATACTTCTTTCTGGCACTACTTATCACCCTACTGACCTCTGCTGGTCCAATAGGGGAGAAGATACTGCGGATGTCTTCCTATCTTTCTTGCTAGCGGAAGAAGACTTGGGGCTTGATTTTCGCTTTGGAGATTTGCTAGACTTTCTTAGAGAAGGCGATGGAGACAATTTTGATCTAACCACTTCTGGTGACACCTTTCAAAAGAATTCAGTACGTTAATTGAGAAATTCCTTCATTCATGATACCATAAAGCATATATATCTTAAAATAATTTTTAAAAATCCTCAAAGTAAAAAATTAAGTACTACTACAGCTACAATCTATTAGTAATCTGAACCCTTGCTTTTAACCAGTATAATTAACTGCTGTAACATACACCGTTATAAAGAAAGCAAATGAAAATTATGAAATTTCAAACTCTGAGACAAATCCCAAATTAAATTCAGACCAATTATCTCTCTATATTTTAGAAAAATGAACAAGGAATGCTAGAAATGGCACTGGCCTGAAACAGACATGTAGTCTTAAGCCCCACTTTATGTTAGCTGGTGATTCTAGCAAGCAAGTTTCAGTTTTGTTCAATAGCAAATACTTCCTACCATCTAATAGATTAATGTGAAGATTAAATGAGTAACATATATGGAGTAGTTGATACCCAGTGAGCTGCTGATCAATGTATTGGTATCCTAATATAAATTTAGGATGTAGCAAGCAGCTAATTTCTCTGAAGCAACATCAATATTGATATTAATTACTAACTTGAATATTGCAATAAATAGGATACCTCCTTTTTAATGATAATTTCTTCTCTCTTCTCCATATTTTCTTGTTCCAATTTCATCAATTCCCTCTGAATCTTCTGACGCTTCATTTCCAATGACAACTCATGAACATAATCATAATTAATATCTCCATTATCAGAATCTTTAAAATAAAAATTTCATTACTAGTCAGAAACTATCATGATTATCTATATAAAAATTACAGCTTTTAAACTAATTTTTATACAAATTTAAATGGCAGATTCTTTTATTAAAATAATATACTTCTAAAAATTAAAGTAATATCTTGGGCCATGAAGGATTAAAATCACCATGGTTGATTTCTTTATAAAAAAATCATATTTTTATGGTTTCTGGATTTTCTAAAAGTAATATGGGTTGTCCAAGGTTTTGTTTTTTTTTTGGTTAGAGATGGCAATGTAGCTTAGGGGTAGGGCATTACCTAGTATGCATAAAGTTCTGGATTCAATCCCCATAATAAATTCAGTACCATAATAAAGAAAAGCTCTGCAAAGTACTCAGCTGAAGTTTCTAAGCACTAAATATACCAACACCTTCAATATTTCATGCTACATAAAATGTGGAGATCTCCTTGATTTACTTATTACTAAAGTGAGGCTAAATTAGGAATACAACATTGCTTCCATAATTTTATCATTTTTATTTTCAAGACAACTGATTTGTATCTAAAACTAAAGCTGGAAAATTTTAATATTAACATGTACTCATATGCTAATTTTTAAGGACTTATAGGTCCTTGTATTAAAAACAGTCAATTCTCAATGGATCTGATGACATCTTTCCATATTCAATCTTTTATAGTTTAGAAAAAAATTAAAATGAGAGTGGTATGAAGATCTATTTTATTATAATATAAAGAAGTTTTCAATGGCTGCTGGCACTGATACCCCACCCTGCACCCTCCTGTGCCATTAATGTCAAGAAGATTGGAGAGAGGAATCCAGCGACTTCTCTCCTAATCCATGACCACTGTTGGGGTTCACTGATCACAGCTGAGGTGCCTTTTCAAGCTACACTTTTAGCATTTTAGATGATTTCTTAACCTGAGGTAAAAAAATAAAAATGTTTTGAAGACACTCAAGTACAATAAAGACAAGAAGTCCTACTTGACTACTTGAAAACATATATCACAAGAAAATAGATATCATTGTCATGTACAGTTCAAATACATTAAATAATATCATCCACTCATGCTTAGGGATTCAGAGGGTAGCTATACATTTAAATCTGTGTGACAAACGTGATTACTCATATTAGAGTATGATGACAATATTTCATAAAATTATAAAATAAATTAAATCAAGTTTTTCAGTTAATGAGCAATTCCTGAATATTCCAGGTGATGTAGTTATTATAGGATAAAATGGAGATACTGAATTTAACTAAATGAATAATAGCTATCTATAGTTACTATTTTGTACTCCATTGAGACACTTTACATCAGTGAATTAAAGGATTCAATGATCTGTTTTCATTGTGTTCTTAACTAAAATTCCATATTCAAACATCTGGGTAAAACAAAGGAAAGAGTAATTAATTGAGGAAAATGATTAACAGTGGTTTTGAAGACATTATCAATAACACATTAGCCACCTAAAAACTACTATCAGGAAATATTATCAGTATGAAACATATATAAGAAGCAAGAAGATACTTTCAAGTACTCAATTCCCAACCACCCAATCAAGGAAGAAAGGTCTGAGCTATTAAAATATATGTCAAAGCGAATGTGCTATAGCTAACATATTTTTCCCAGAGGGAAAGCTCTCAAGCCTTTACTCAAAAAGCACTTAACTTTATGTATATCTATTATAATCAAAACTCAGATTTTTTCCTAATCTATAAAAGATAAAAAAAGAAACAGAAAGCACAAAATATAAGATGGAACTCACAAGACAGAAGCCTGAAATTAGTCAATAAATTTAGAAAATATCTTGTGTATTTTATAGCCTAAGGTTATCACTATAATTACCTTATAAAACTTGATTGTAAAAATAACTAAGTCATTGGGAAAATATTCTAATTATATTAGAAAGGTATACACAAAGAAAAGGTTGTTATTCTTTATAAATAATCTTACTGATTAACAGAAGCACAGGCAAAGCAATTCACACACAAAATAATACAAATGTATATAAATATGCCTATTATGTATTATGAAACCATTTTTAAAAATTACAGTATTGTTTACAAAGGTTCAGATAAAGGACATGCCCATTCTCTAGTGGCAGCAAAACAAGTGAGTATGTCTATCTTTGTTAATAGGTGTAAAAGCCTTCTAACATTTATCCCATTTAAAATAGCAATTGTATTTCAACTAAAATTTATTACATGAAAAAAACCCAGACTTATAAAAAACATATATAAGAATTAAAGACTATAAGTATTTAAGTATTTCCTTTTGTTTTTATTTATGATACATTCTCACTGCTATACTTTTACACAATTCTGAGTACACAGTAAAATATGAAATTCTCCTTATGTTCCTCCACTGATATCATCACTGCAATGGTAACAGTTTAGGGTTGAATGCATAAAAATAAACCCTTATAGTTTCTTATTAAACAACAGAACAAAAACTACACACTGCCTTATAAACAGGATTTTTCCATGTTACACTTCAAGCCCAATCATCTTCATTTTAATACCTACAAAGCTTTTCAAACTATGAACACACTGTAACTTACTCGACCAGTTTTGTTCTGAGATATGCAGTTTGTTTTCAATATTTTGCTATCAGAAAGACTTCAGTGAACATTTTAATATCTACCTTGATTCACAAGTACCAGTATTCTTTTATTACAAATTTCTCAAACTGCAATTTGTTGAATCAAATAAAAGTACAACCTGTTTTCACTATGGTCAAACTGCATTCCAAAACAACTTTACCAATGTAAACTGACATCCCAATTTCAAAAGATCAAAACTACTTCTATAATACTACCTTATTTGCCTGGTTAACTAATTCGCCCCTGAGTACATAACAGAATTTTCCAGATGTGATATCTTTAACATACTGAATGCAGAAGCAGATATGAAAATTAAGCTGAATCCTATTAATAAGCCAGACATTGAAATGCCTTGTAAAAACATGTAAAAAAAAAAATCTTACCACTTCCTCACATTTTTTCCTTGTAAAAGAATAGTATTTTGCATAAAAGATTATATTAGTTTTATTACTGTCATTATCAAACGATTAATAAATAGTTTTAAAATTTCTCAGATTCAATTAACCAAAGAAAAATATAAAAATCACCATGAGATATTTTATATGTAAAACTATTACTAAATATTTTTCCTATAATAAGTCTCAAAAAAAAAATCACTTTAGGGCTGGGGTTGTGGCTCAGTAGTAAAGTGCTTGCCTGGCATGTGTTAGGCATTGGGTTCGTTCGATTCACAGCACCACACATAAATAAATAAAATAAAGGTCCAGAGACAACTGAAAAAAAAAATATATATATATATATAAAAAATCACTTTTTTTTTTTTTTAAAGAAGAGAGAGTTAAGCGGAAAGCATTAGAAATCAATAAACAAGGGACAAAATACAAGGAGCTTCTATATGATTGAAAGACTTGAACAGGAAGACAAAAATCTGAAGAGTGACAGATGGAAGCCAAGCAAAAGAGTCTTTTTTGAAGGACAGGAGCTCTAAGATATGTCAAATGCAGCAGAAAGTTACTTTGAGATAGAGACAAGTATGTCTCCATTTAGCAAAGAGGTTATTAGTAACCTTGAAGAAGAGTTTTAGTGGAGAGGTGGGGCAGAAAACTGTATACTAAGTATCAGGTGAAAAGGCAGATATAAGGTACATTCAACAGTCCATTCTCTTTGAAGAATTTAGCTATTAAGTGGAAATAAGCAGGGTAGTAGCTAATAGTAATGTAAGAAAAGGAATGTTAGAGATATGGCCATGAATGTATAACAAATAAACATAATTGCTGAGGTAAGAAGAAATCAGATTTAGAATACAAGGGAATATATTAACTTTATACAACAGGAGGAAGGTCTCTTAACACGGAATAAGAGGAAGATAAATAGTATCAACTAATTATTGTAATTTTATAGACATAGTATTAAATTAGATTATAAAGCCAATGAACTAATCATAAAAGTTTCTTATTCTTTCTTAGAAATAACTTTTGAGCAAACTGTACTGTTCCTTATTAAGTACTGATATTCCAACTAGTGGAGAGACATATAGGATACTTTTCAAGTCTTGGTCTATTTCAGAGGTCATTCTGCAATACAGTAATAAATATCTTAGACATGCAAGCTCTTGGATCTCTGTCACAAGGACTCACTCAAATCAGCCACTGTCCCCCCAAAGTAATATGCAGCCAAATTGATAAGGCTATGTTCCAATTTTAAAAGTTTATTTTCAAAAATATAAACAAGCAACAGTCCATATGGTGTAAGTTTTCAGCTTACTACTGAAAAAGCTGTTAAAATTCTTAAGCTCTTTAATTTTGTCATCTGAAAGTAGAATAACATAGCTACTGAATGAAAATAGAAATCATATTAAAATGTCCAGCATATCCAATGCATTCAACAAGTGTCGAGTTCCCTCTCTAGAACTGGGAGCATGAGGTTAGAGTGCTCACCTTCTGGAACATAAAAGAAGTAGAGAAAAGAGAACATTCATGGCATGGAAAATACTTATTTGTTAAGACATGACTCAAAAATGATTCTGCTAATTTTCATGAATAAACTCCGGGATTCAATTATCATGTGACTAATTTCTTCTGAAAAAAAGAAAGTCAAATTTCTTGGAAATAATTTCCCCAAGTATTTAAGATTTAAAAATGTCATTTTAAAATATTTTATGTAAAACAACATAAATTTAATTTTTTAACTTTAGTATTGAGGAATTTAAAAATTTACAAATGTAATAAATTAAAGGACTATGAAACTGCACAATAAAATTTTAAAGAGAAAACTAGGACGATGAAGTTTAAATATGTATTGCAAACTTTTTTCTGCTTTTGAACCGCTACCCTATGCAGTATCTATCTTATAACTCTGATAGTTAGAAACATATCAATATGATAATTCTGAAACAATGGAGAGATCACAGTTAACAAGTGATTGGTTTTTGTTTTTGTTGTTTGGCTAAATTAGGGATTGAACCCAGAAATGCTCTACCACCAAGCTACATTTTATTTATTTTTTGAGATAAGGTCTCACCAAGTTTCCCAGGCTGGCTCAGAATTTACGATCCTCCTGCCTCAGCCCCCTGATTAGTTGGGATTACAGGCGTGCACCATCTTGTCCAGCCTTGAAAAATGTTTTAAAGCCTATAAAACGTATAAAAAGTAAATAATCAAGAATTTATCAGGTAAGCAAAGATTCTGAAACTCACCATCTCTAGTAGTTTCCCATTCTACATTTTCTTCTTCACTTTCTGGAGTTCTCTCCTTGGTGATTTTTATGTCTTCTTTTTCCCTATGCCTCCCTCTTGAAGATTCTTTCTAAAAAGTACATACCCACAGATTAGTGTATTTTTGAACAATATTTAAGGTAATTGTAATACACAGTATTTTAATTTCAGTCATCCTTGTTTCATTAAAGAATTAGTTTTGTAAATAATCATTTATTATAAGAACAGAGGAACAATTAAGTTCTAGTACAGCACCAAAATGTTAAGACTATAAAAGAATAGCAATTTAGTAAATATAAGCAGCTAAGATTTAGAAAACACAATATAAATCTAAAACTTTATTTAAAAAACTAAGTTTATTAAAACTGCTAAGTTTCTATGGGAAATCATTTGGGAAATGACAGTTTAAAATGGATAAAATACAATGGAAAAGGTTTGCAAGTGACCACATTTAAAAATAAAAAAAACTCAGCTATTTATAGTAGATGTTCAAAAATCATCAATCTAGGATTTATACACTAAAATAGTATCCACTTTCCTGCATACCTAAGGATAAATCAAACTCATTTAATGATTCTATAAAGGCTTTCCAAAAAGAGATTTTATTTATTTTGATGAAACCAAATGTTAGTTAAAACAGTTAATAAATTACTCCTTACTATGATAGTTAAAAGACAGGTTTTACATTTGGAACACTAGGTGTAACAGTAGCCTACACAAAACAGGCCAACAGTAATTGAACTTATAAAATTCAAGATCCTATTATATAAGATTCCAAACCACATTTTACTAGGTGGCAAGAAAATAACCAGTGTCATGTATCTCTTATCATTCCACCACAGTGAAATTCTCACTTTTATTAACAATCTATAATACACAAGATAATGAAAGTAAATAACACTATGTGTTCAAACTAATTTCTAAGCATTACCAGAGATATAATTTGGCTGCCCAAAACACAATCAATTTCTTTTTGGAGCTTAGTTTTTTAAAGATTTCTTACATAACTGCCTCTCAATTTTACATATTTAGGTATAAAGTTATGCTGTAAGAATTAGCTGCAAAATAACATATATAGTTGGTAAGACTAATATAGGCTGATACAAATTATTATTATTTTTTTTAGTCTTGTGTCTTTTTGATACAAATTATTAAGAGACTATATGACAAAACTGCCATGGGAAAATTGTAAAGGGTCAAGAAAAGAAAATGGGCAATTATTTGTACAGAAAACAAAAGGAAATAAAGGAACACAATCTAATTTTAAATCATAATCTGTGGAACGTCAATGAAGAACTGTCCTATATTCCATGCAACATTTGAATACTGTTCATTAAACCCACTGTAAATATATATTAGTAAATACCTATCCCAAAAACATGTTAGAAGACATTATTTCTAAATTGATAAATAAAATACTTTGTGCTTTCTGTCTAAAGTGTAATTACCCAACTACAAATTTAGTTGAAAAAGGATTCAGAGCAGAAGTACTCTATCATAAAACAGACAAAATGTTTTACATTGTAACACTTATTTTTAGCATATTTAGAAACAGCAATGAAATGAATAATAAATTTCATTATTTATGTAAATATTTCATAAGTATCTTATATTGACATTATGTAATTTTTGAGTTGTCCATGTCTTAGTAACATCTATTATTAAACACTACAGACTACTTGTAGCTTCAATATGTGATGGAATTTCAAGTTAAAAGATAATTTCCTAAAAATTTGTCACTATACCACTTCAAATCATAATATAGGAAATTACTTTGATAACACTTATTAGAAAAGCCTACTCATTTAAAAGAAAATCATATTTCCTCATTTTCTCTACTTTGACAACATATAACTTGTTCAGGCATGTTATTCCTTTATCAAATAAGTTATTTCACCCTTTGTTTTATAGTCAAAGAAACAGAATCTGGTATTACTAGTCACATATACCATGGTTTACTTTAACATTCCTGTGTTTCTTCAATAGAATAGTTTGTTATCACCTCTTAAATTCAAACATATTAATTGAAGCATAATCTTCTGACAACTTTATTTTCTGTAATTAGTCATCTTGGAACATACACAAGCTTAAATACTTGTTAAAGAACTACAACATTTAGCACCAGATATTTCAGAATTTATTCTGAATTTCCAAGCACATTAACACTGACAGTAGGGTATGCTGCAGCAGCCTGTGATCAAACATACTAATATTTTTTAAAAAAACAGGAATTCACCAATTGTATAAAGACTATAATTAGGTTGTTTCAATTAAGTTTTGCTACCAAGTAAGTCTACCTAACTTAGGAAAAACATTAGTCTATGTTTCTTGGATTTCAGAAATGTAATAAATAATTATGGGTTTTTAAATAACTTTTATTTCACTTCTATTTTAATACTATTATACACATTTTTCTTGAACATTATATGGGTGAGCAGATTATGTTCATTATGACTTTTATTTTAAGACAGTAAGAATGTGAAATAAATGGAAGTCTCGAGGCTAAGCATTGAGAACCAATACTATAATAAGTGAACTAGGAACTAAATAATAAAATGTTAGGAGCCTTTGTGAATCACATAATCCAACCTCCCATCTCATGAAGGAAATTTTTCTTTAGGACTAGTTCTGATCTCTGGAATCATGCAAAACAAAATCAACACTTCTTCCACATGCTAGCCCTTTAAATATTTGAAAACTGCTACAGAAACTCTTCAACATCTTATACTAGACCAAAGGCCAAAGAAAAACAATTTTTTTTTTACACATACACATTTCATGATTTTCACACTCCTAATTTTTCTGCCATCTTCTCTATATTAATCTGCCAATGTTTCAATAAAACATGATACACCAAATTAAAGATTCCATATTATCTATGTCAGTCTTCCAAAATTGATATATAGATTATACACAACCCACATCAAAATCCAAGCAAGTTACTTTGTAGATATATGACAAACTGATTCTAAAGTTTTTATGGAGACTCTGAATAGCCTATAAAACTAAAGATCAAAGGTAGTACATTGACACTACTGGACTTCAAGACTTAATACAAAGCTAGAGTAATCAATATAGTGTGATATCAATTGACATAATGTACAAATATTTTTTAAAGTGTCCAGAAATAGACCTATAGAGAAATAATCAACTAATCTTTGAAAAAAGAACAAAGACAAATGTGTAGAGAAAGAACAGTCTTTGAACAAATGCTGCTAGAATAACTGGACACCTACATGAAAAAAAAAAAAAAGTGAATCTAGACACACACCTTACATCCTTCACAATAATTAACTAAAAACAGATCTCAGACCTGAATGTAAAATGCACAACTAAAACTCCTAGAGATAAGAAGAAAATATCTAAATGATCTTGGGTATGGCAATAATATTTTAAGTGTAATATCAAAGGCACCATCCATGAAATAAATAATTGAAAGCTGGACTTCATTAATATTTATAATTTCTGCTTTGTGAAAAATATTGTCAAGAGAATAAAATAGTCAAAGACCAATAGAAAATATTCACAAGGGACAGCTGATCCAAAATATAAAGAATTCTTAAAATTCAACAAGAAACCAACCCGAATGAAAACTCCATCGAAGACCTGAACACATGCTTTTATCAGCTGACAAATCAGCATATGAAAAGATGTTCAACATGGTATGTCATTGAAGAAACTAAAAATAAAACAATAATAGAAATCACTACCCATAGTATAGTGGTATCTAAATGTAGTCAAAATTCAATATACTGATAACATCAAGTGCTGATGAGTTGTGAAGCAACAGGAACTCATTCATTGCTAGTGTGAATGCAAAACAATACAGTCAATTTGAAAAATACTTTAGCAGGTGTACCCCCACACAGCAAACTGGGAATTGAATCCAGGGGTACTCTACAACTGAGCTATATCCCAAGTACTTTCTATTTTTTGAGATAAGGTCTCACTAAAGTGCCCTGTTTGGCTTTGATTTGCAATCCTTCTGCCTCAGCCTCCTGAGTTGCTGGACATGCGCCACCATACCAGCAGTTTGGCAGTTTCTAGAAAACTAAACACACATCTTTTGTAGAATCCATCAATAACATTACTTGGTATTTACCCAAAGAAGTTAGGAATGTAGGTCCACAAAGAAACCTGCATGCAGATGTCTATTACAGACTTGTTTCTAATTGCCAAAACTTAGGAGCAAACAACATGTCCTTCAGCAGGCAAATGGATAAGACAATAAAGCCAAACGTATATTATGTTTTTAAAATGAAAATGATTTGTCAATAATTTCATTGACTGTAACAAATTCAAAACTATGGGTGAGATACTGATGGGGCTTAGGGAGCTGCATATGTGCAGAAAGAGAAGGTATGAGATATCTCCATACTTTCTTCAATTTTGCTATGAACCTAAAAGTGTTCCAAAAACACAGTCCATTTTTTTAAAAAAAAGACAAATGAAATTATCGTATTTGATAACAAATTATTATTTTATTATATTACAGATTGGGTATCCCAAATCCAAAAATCTAAAATTTGAAAAGCTCCAAAATCTGAAACTTTTTGAGCACTAACAAGATACCATGCATGAAAAATTCTGACCTCACGTGACATGAATACAAACAGGCGAGCAGAAAATATTGTGTAAAATTACCTTCAGGCTTCATAAACATGTATATATCTTTATATGATTTCATGTTCAGATGTGGGTCCCATCCCCAAAATGTCTTATTATATATAAGCAAATATCCCCAAATCCATAAAAATCCAAAATTCCAAACATTTCTGGTCCCAAACTGGGATAATGGATATCCAATCTGTATCCCTAAAATGGATTTAGAAATAGAGTCAAGCAACCCACCACCAAAAAAAGGGGCAGGGAGGGGGACAGGGAATGGACAGGAGATAGAGACAGAGTTCACAAAAATTATACTTAAATAACATGAAGAGAACAAAGTAAGAGAAAATTAAAACTATACTGATAGGCCATGTTTCTCCTATCAAACTGGCAAAATACAAGTCTGACAATACACACTAAGAAGCCCAAGGAGAAATAAATAGGTACTGTCATGTACTACTGGTAATAGTGCAAATGACTCTG